ACAACCCCAAGGGCACTGGCGTGCATCTGTGCAACTGCAAGCGCTTCCTGCTTGGTCTTGTCTCTCACAGGGACAACGGCAAAACGCTCATCCCGCGCTCCTGCACCTGCCTTGGTATTCACGAAGATACCGTCTCGGCCCGACAGGGCAAGGAAGGGAAGAAGATGATCATCTCGCACTCTGAGAAAGCCATGCATGTGTGACGCACTGGTGTGATCCTGGCGGCATGGAAATCTCTGGGAGTCGTAAACTTTCAGATGCCACTTGCTCAAGACCCCCTCAGTGCAATTCACTCCTGCATGTGACTTAGCAATGTGCGTAACAATGTCACTAACTGCCGTGGCCCACTTACTGCACGACTTGTCAACAATGACTTCAAGCACAGTGGACTTTACCTCAGCAACTGTGAGCTCAGGGCACGCTGGCTTATGGTAAATTGCAATGTCACCGAACTGCAGCAAGTGCCCCTGCATGAGCGCAACACGACCCTCGGCATTGCAGGCAGTGTACTGAATGGGGCTTTCAGTTTGCTCAGGCATAGGCTGTGTGGTAAGGATGGCAAGGCCGTCTGTGGACATCTTCTTTGGGGGCATGAATGCCTTGGCCTGCTGTGGCGTCATGACACATATGCCGCTAGCGTCAGTGCTGAAATCAGCAAATGCAAGGCTAGGCACAACTTGATCGTCCGCCTGGAAGTCGGCAGACACAAGCTTGAGGTCAGTGGTGTCAATCTGCCGCTGACGCTTGCCTTTCTTGCCACCACCTTTGATGGACCACTCCTCAGTGCCTGTTGCAGTGCTGCTGTCAGTGGTAGATCTTGAGGCTGCACGCTTCTCTGTCTGGAATTGACGAAGCTCACCGGGATAAATCAGGCGGACGCTGTGGCGTGAGGCTTCTTGCTTGAGTTTATCCCAAAAAGTGGCATCCTTGGGAAGCTTATCAAACAAATCAGTGCCAAGGCGGGAGATCACAAGACCAGCTCTGTCCTGCGCAACATCACTGGGCACGCCTCTCTCAATCAGTGCACCCTTAAGGAAAGCATTGCGATCAGGCCCTCCTTTACCTTTTCCACCTTTCTTCGCACCTCCATGCAAGGGGAAAACACGGAAAGAGACAACACCATTGCACATGCTAACAGCAGTGTCAAGAGGGGTCTCAGCGCCATTGACAAATGCACGGACCTCTTCTGGCCACTCCGGATGCTTGGCAATGACATCATGCAGGCAAAGGTCCTCACGCATGAAAGACACAATGACACGGGGCCAAGCAGGGCCACGGTACCACAACTCATGATCAGTGCTGCTTCTGCTTTGCGCCAGACACTTGGTTCCATGTTGCCCTCCACGAACACACTCAGTGAGGCAATCAATCTCATGGGCAGACCACAGATTTTGCCCCCCGTTGATGGGGAAGGTGCGCACAATGAAGCTCCTCGCTGGGTAATGCCACACACAGCTGACATGATCAAGCATGGCCAATCCATTCTGAAGCCGAATGCAAGCCGTGCACACACCTATGCGGTTAGCAATGAGTGCAATGACATCACAGGCAGACATGAAGGGCCAAATCACAACGTCCAATGTGCGAAGTGAGCCTCCAATGCGACACTGAATGGTACGTGTCTCAAAGCCAATATGCAGTGCAATGGGTCCTTGAATGTGCAATCCGACATCGCAAGGCGATCCCTGGCAGCAAACAACGTATGAGGCTGGGGACACTCCCGGCAAGGCTTGCTGAAGCACATGTGCAATGGTATCACCTCTACATGCAGTTCCACTCCATGCCCATCTGCCCTCATCATGGGTGATGCAGACTTTGCAATTCTGTGCAATCTCAGAACGGATGTCATCAGGTCCACTGCTTGTTATGTTGCAAAGTGCGTCAGGGCTTACGAAAAGCAGGTCACGGATGCACGTCTCAGGCAACACAAGGCAAAGGACATCAGGCTTGCACTTCTTGGTTGGCGGTTCAAGGATCCTGCAGCTCTGGGACTCAACAGCGAAGGGAACCGTCGGGGTAATGGGGGTCAAAGCATCATTCTTCGACTCAGCTGGCTGGAAGCGATGATACTGGCTGTCCGCATAGGTGCAAATCTGATGAAAAGTGCCACGCACCCCCGCAACACCTGTCAGATCCGACCACACGCAGAAGAGCTTGAACCATCCATGAGCTGCATGAATTGGTGCAAGGCAATTCCCAAATGCGCGGTATGCAAACACGTCCTTAGTAGCCTGAGCCGTACTGGCTGGGAACCCTAAGATCGTGGCAAGCTCTTGGCAATGGAAAAAGCGAATCCCCCGGCTGTCACCAATCACAAAGGCATGCAATCCATTCTCTTGCAGAAAACCATCTGAGAAAGCAATGTTCGTCCGGTACGATGCCATGAGGGCCGGGAGGTGCGAATGCTGGTCCAACACACGAAAACGCTTGATAGCAGTGGCATCTGTTCCATGCTTGGCACGTTCCCATGCAGGCAAGAAGCGTGGGTCAAGCAGGCGCTTCAGGTCTTCCGCACTGACTTTCAATGCATCCCACTCCTGTTCAGTCAGGTGATTCATGATCGAATCTGTGGTGCCAAGAGTTGGCCTGGGCTGCACACACGGCATGGTAATTCCAGTGAGCCGCATCAGACACTCCTTACTAAGCTGCAAATCGTCACGTACCAGGAAAAGCAACAGCCTCTTGCGTGCAATAGGCCGGATGGCTCGGATGTCACTCTTGTCAACCTGAATGAGACGAAAGCCCGCCCACTTGAAGAGCTGCTTCACCAGCTCCCATTGGGGATGGGAGGCCATGCCAATCACATTCTCCAGAGCCGCAATGCATGGCTGCATGATCTTCAGGTTGATGGCTGTGTCAATGATGTTGAGGCCAAGCTCACTAGCCAGTCCATCACGGCAGGCCGTTGACGACCAAGGCTGACAGCTAGGCGAACCCACAGCTACCGCTATGTTGTGCACAGTAAGTCTGGACAATACTGCACGATTGGATACACTGGCACACAGCATGAGCGCATCCATGTTCTCAATCTCAAGCCAAGGTATCGCACAGAAGGCATCATCCTTCATGGTGTCCCACCCCAGCATGCTTGATGCCAAATCAGCAGTTCGCAAGTCACACTCAATGCCAAAGGCAATCTGTGGTGCATGCTGTGAAAGGAAGGGCAACAGAAAACGCTGTCCGTGCACCCATCCCCCGATTCCCGCAAAGAAATCAACCGCACACCCTGTCTGCGAGACCGTTCCATGCTTGAACAGTAGGGAATCCATCGTCAAATGCATGAATGCAATGGAGTCCTGGCACACCACCCGAAAATGCACTGCTGTCATAATTACGTCCTTCTCCATCCTGAAAGCCAGATGTTGCTGTATGGGCACTTCCAGCTGTACCGAAAATACCCCTGTGTTGCATGCAAAGGAGGAGCGAGATGGAGCGCCAATGGCTGACCAATAAACACGATCCACTGCCCAACCATCCACCGCGATCAGCTTCTGCAGCTTGACGTAACAAGATCCGGTGTCGCTGTCCACAGCACGGGACATCATCGCATATTGCCCAACCATGTCGGCAATGTCATGCTGCCAATCCGCGGGCAAACCCGCAGACGACAGATGCCGATCCAGGCACGGCTCCATGTCTGTTGATGCCTACCAGCCACTGGGAGGCCTGGAGCCAATGGCTAGCAATACTAAATCAACTGGAAACTCAATTCCAGATCTCAAAAAGGAAGCTTTAGCAATACGAAATCAAATGGAAACTCAATTCCAGATTGTTTAGGGGGGGGGTGGCAAAAAACCTTCCAAAATGTTGCCCCTCCAAAACCTTCTGACCTTCAAGGGGGGGAGACAGACTAATGCGGGGTCAACATTAAGCCCCTGCCTCTCTGTGCTTTGATTTGCACAGCTGAAGCATGCTGAAGCCACTCGCAGAAACAGCGCAAGCTGAGAAGAGCTCCCTGGGAGCTCCCTGGGATTCCCTGGGCGTATCCATACGCATCCCAAAATGTCCTTGGGCCGAGAACCCTATATTGACTTGGAGCCAAAGCAAGGGATTACAAGCAGTGACCATCAGATACTATCAGGAACCCAACCCCGTTTAGTGGCCACACCATCTTCGTGTCTCTCCCCCTTGAGCAAATTCAATCAGGCTTCGGCAGCCCGCCTGTTCTGCTTGAAAAAGCGGAACCAAAACCAGCTGAGCAAACCGCGCGCCTGGGATTGCCAGGCGGGCGAAAGCCAGCTTTACACTGGGCCACACCTAGCGACATGGGCAAGACGCACCAGCGCCCCAAGGGTGACGGACTATCAGTCACCCTGCAATGGCCATGAAGGCCTAGGTATTCTATCTTCTGACCAAGCTTGCGTCAGGCGCCAGACCATCTGAGCAAAAAACGCACCTGGGATGGCGAGGCGGGCGTCTCCTGTCGAGATGGCCAGCTCTTTGCTGGGACGCGCACGGCAACATTGGCAACAAGATGCAAGAAGCACTGCCATATCAAGGGGACGCATGAAAAAAAAAACAAGCAGCGGCTACTGGCAACCGTGACCTGCCACATGTGGCAGGTACGGGACATGTATACTCCTTCCTGTTTTTCCTTGATATGGCTCTGAATCAAGCCTTCAGCACTGACAACCAGACGCTAGACCAGCCGAGAAAAAAGAGCACACCTCGCCTGGGATGGCCAGGTGCCAGCTCTTTGCTGGGCCGATGGCAACAGGAGCAACAAGATGCAAGAAGCACTTCTGCTGTGATTCAGAGCCTTCTTTTTCCTCTGTTTTTTCCTTTCTATGGCGTGGGTTTACTCATGTGACCAAGCTCAAGCTCCATTTGTCTTTTATTGTTTGGATGCTTTGCGAAATGTCAAGCGTGTGCGCGTGCGTTTGTGTGTCGAAAACCAGCCAATTTGTGTGATGTATCACATCCAGCGTATCACATCACAGCAACCTCGTGTCAGCGCATGAGTTTGAGCATTGCTGCATGCATGAGCAGACGGACGCCAGGTCCTGGAACGAGCTCAGCGATTGGAGGAGGAGCAGAGCCAGACACAAGGTGAATGTGCTCAGCTGCAGGCTGTGCCCGTGCGTCATCCAAACAAAACGGAGAATAATGGATGCTGGCAAAGACAGAGCCCAGCGAGCGGGGACAATGCTTGCAGAACTCATATTAATGCGCTCGTGCAAGAAGTGATGATGTCATGCAGCCGGATTCCTCATTCCATGCTTTCTATGTGGACATGGCAAGTTTGGGGCCTTTCTGGTTGGGTTTACCTACTTGTTATGACCTTTCAGGAAACCATGACAAATACCCCACTGTCCTGGCATTATTATTTTGCATGCCCTGGTCACTGCTTCTGCTGGGAGGCCAGGCTGCAGGAGCTTCAGGCAAGCCGAGCAGCACTGCAGCACGCGGCTGAGAACGAGCCGCTGCATGCGGAGCTTGAGCAGGCGCAACGGGGGGTTGTGCGCCGGTAAAGATTTGGGTTTTTGTGCGTTGCATGGGGTTGTTTAACCTATATTACAAATAGATTCGCAGTCGACGTCTCCAGATAGAACGGTGTCGGATACAACGGACACCCTCCAAAGTAGAAGAACGGTGTCAGAAATACGCACCCGTCGCTGTTGCAAACGGACTGCCACCGTTGCAAGCAGCCTTCGAGCATCATACTTCGACAGGTTTTTGTCCACCCCGGGGGTTGTACAATGTCGATTGCCCATACCGCGTCCATTTCATTCATCTCATCCGACGGCGGGGGGCGAAGGAACTGAGCTGTGGGTAGACCTTTTGAGGTTGAGGTATGAGATCGTGCTGTGTCACACATCAGGTGAACAACTATCGGAGCGTTTGCTAGCGTCCCCGGCGGCCGTATTTCCTACGCTCGTTTTTTCTACAGACATCGCCAGAGGTATGTTTAGCAGCGTCAGGTCCAGACGATTGGTTTAGGGGCTTAGCATGGGTTCAGGGAGGGTTTAGGGCTGGCTAGAGTTGGTTAAGGTTCAGTTTGCAGCGCGTTATGCATTGGAGCCTGGCTAAGGCCAAAGCAAAGGAGGCCACGCGCTTGAAGAAAGAGAACGATGATTTGCAGGTGCAGCTGCAGAAGGCGGGGCCCTTCCAGGCCATTAGTGGAAGCATGAACAGGGAGCTTTGTCGCTTGGCGCTGCTATTGCTTGAAAGTAGCCGGACAATTTCTCCGGATATTGAAGAGGGCTCTTTGAGCGACATGTTGAGGGAGACATGCTTTCCGATGCATGTCGGAGCGAGCGTGTGTAGTTGCGTTTCATTCTAGGCGCAGCTGCAAGTGCGGCAATTACAGAGTCAAGCAGACTCGTTGCAGGCCAGGATCCTGATGGCAAGTTGTGAAGTGTTTGAAGCATTGTGTTTTCGGCCGTGTCTTTGCTGCCATGCAGTGTGTGGTGGTACGACACAGCGTGCTTTGCTGTTCGTCGCAGAAATGTGTGCAATCATGTCGTGCCCGGCTTGTATGGCCGCCAGGACACGCAGGAGACATTGCAGCGATCGCAGAGGGAGAAGGATGGTTTGCAGTCTGAACTGCAGAAGGCAGGGTGGGTGGCGTCGAAGGTGTTTGTAAGACAACATTCGCGCAAGGCAGCATGTGGATGGTGCTTGAGCTAGGTGCAGCTGCAAGCGCAGCAGGGGCAGAAGCAAGTAGACTCGCTGAAGGCCAGGTTCCGCAAAGTGAAGCATGTTGCGCTTGGTCGTATCTTTGCCGTTGTAGACATTCCATGTGTTGCTTTCTGTATTGCAGTGAGGTATAAAGTGATATGGCTGCGGGCCAAGAATAGGTGCCCGAAATGGCACCCTGGATGGAAACAATGACTAAAACCGTGGTCCCCTGGTGGTTCAATTTTGACCCATACCCAGTTATTTCTCCTTAGATGGATGCCCAAGTGGCGGAGCTGCACGGCGCGCAGGAGGAATCCGAGCGATCGAAGAAGGAGAAGGATGCTTTGCAAGCTGAACTGCAGAAGGCAAGATGGGTGGCTGTCGAACAGGGCGAGGCGGTTGCCATTCGCAAGACCTGTTGTGAGCTTGGCATGTTCAAGAGGGCTCTTTGAGCAGCAAGTGGAGGCGGCCATGCTTTCCGATTCACTTCGGGGAGAGCATGTGGTTGCATCCACACGCTAGGCGCAGCTGCAAGCGCGGCAATCACAGAGCCAAATAGACTCGCTGCAGGCCAGGATCCTGCTGTTGCATTTGGTTGCGCCTTTGACACGATGTCTTGTGGTACGGCATAGCATGCCTAGACTACAGGTAGAATTAACTGAACCTCATATATAAGCTTGACTCCTTCCCAAAGCGCTTCTGGCGAAGCCACGGGTTTCACGCTCGACATCTCGCAGAAGTCGAGAGCGCCGACATCAACCGAACAAACGCCGGGAGTTTAACCAATTGACCCAAGAATTTTAGGATTCCGGTAGAAGGATCCAAAAACCATCCGCTTTACCCAAGTGCCAGTGGATTGATCGAAATCGCAACCAGACTTTCTGTACATGATCTTCCCAACGAACTTGAAATCCACCAGTCAACTGCGGAAGTGAAGATGGTGGACCCCCAAATGGGCTTCAGCTTCACATTTTGGTTTCCCTTTGACGCAATCAGAAAAAGGGCACAGTCGAAAAAAACTGGCAAACACAGCTGGCTTGGATGGAGGACAAAGTGACGGAGCTGCAGAGGGTGCAGGAGGAATCCGCACGGTCGAAGAAGGAGAAGGATGGTTTGCAGGCTGAACTGCAGAAGGCAGGGCGCGTGGTGTCGAACAGGGCGTTTTGTGTTGGAAGCTATTCCATGTGATGCAGCGCAAGACCTGTCGTGGGCTTGACATATTGAAGATATCTCTTCGAGCGGAATGTGGAGGGGGCCATGCTCGAGCTAGGTGGAGCTGCAAGCACAGCAGTGGCAGAAGCACATAGACTCGCTGAAGGCCAGGTTCCTGTTTTGGGGCGAGTTGCAAAGTGTTGCAGAGTGAAGCATGTGGCGCTTGCTTGTGTCTTTGCCACAATGCCTTGCGTCATGGGACGGCATATCATGCCTTGCTGTGTTTCGCAGTGTAGAAGGTGACAACCCTATGTTGGCCAGTGATTCATGTCATCCTTTATTTGGGTCTCCTCGCCGAAGTCAAGCCCGAGCCCGGAAGCCCAACTTGCTCAACATGTTCCCTTCCGAAGGGACCCAGACCTATGTGCCATTGATCCTCCTTTAGGCGCCTGGCGAAGCCACGGGATTGTACCAGATTTGCCGCGTGGCAGCAGGAGATGTGTTGTTAGTCAGTTGCTACATGAGTCTGTCGGTTTTGGGGTACCATGTTTGTGCGGTGCTAAAGGGAGACCAACACGAGAACTGCCATTGTTGCGGGTCCACTGAAAACAGACACCCCCACATGGGATGAGTGCAAGCATTGCTTGCAATTGCTTTCGTATCTCACTCAGGCTTTCACCACCCTGAGACAAGAGAGCCCTTGGTTCCTGGCACGCCTGAGCAGCTTGGAGTGTCGTCTTGGCGCGTGGTTGGCCCAAGGTTGGATTTGGGGAGCACCTGAAGCTTCTGAATCAACCATGTTTTGAAAATATGAATCCACTGATTTCCATGGTTTTGTCCTAAGAGGGACTTAGGTGAGAATAGATGAAGGGTAGGACAATCTCGACCAGAAGTTGGTGCGGATGTCCGGCCTTTTTATTCTTTACCATCGCCTTTCATCACCTTTGGGTAGGCCGCTGCAAGGTTTCGATTCTGACTCAGGTATGCGCTTCTGCTGCCCAAAATTCTGGCTGGCCTGCCTTCGGCGACCCGGTCATGGCTGGAGAGTCTTCTGGACGTCGGCCGGCGTTTCCGAGATGGGGGTGAGATTAGTCCCAAAGCCTGCATGTCTTTTGTTGAGGGTGCATGAGGGTGCCCTGTTTGGTTGGCTTCAAAGGCAAGCCAACAGTAAGCCAACCATCTTTGGGGCTTCCCGAAACGCCGTTTGGTGAGCTGAATGTGTCCTTGAGACCAAAATGGAGCCCCTTTTGGCCATCGACCCATGCCCATTCGCAGGAGACTGGCAGAGCCCCTGGACCGCTGCCTGAGGACGTTGAGGGGCCCTGGCGAGAGAGAAGTAATCACTCGAGTTCCCGGAGTTGCGAACATGGGATGTACCACTAGCTTTACAGTTGAAAAACTTCGGCCGGGACCTTGAAATTGGGGTTCAACCGCTCCTTCCCTAGGAAATATGTGTTCTAATGAGGGCCTGCGGGGAATGTTGATCTCCATGTGGGACTGCGGGGAATGTTGATCTCCATGTCATACAGAGCTTGAAGGTGGACAGCGCAAGTATGCACTGAGGGTCGACTCCCCAATTCTTGCAAAGCAAGTGTCGGCACAGACTTCCGACCTGTGCAGGAAGAGCTTGGACAAGTTGTCACGCTGGGCGGTAGATTTCAGAGGGGAATATGTTTTTACCACTTCAGTCGAGCGGATGGCTACTGTGCCACTGAGAAGCACCACCTATTTGCACGGATGTTGTGGAACACAAAGCGTTGTGCCCTGAATTTGGTTTTACAGAAATTCGCGCAAGCTTGGCCTCTTTGGACTCGGGCGCCTACGTCAGCCGCTTGCTCGGGGTTTCTCAGGGTTGCTACTGTATGGAGCCTTTCAAATCTTCTTGTTTTGAGCAGGAGCGAGCATTCTATGCGCACATGTTTTCGACAGAAAGAATCCACTCCGAGCGTTTGCAAGGCTGTTGTAAGCAAGAAATATGGCCACAAAAGACTTTAAAGGCCAAGCCTGAGTTGAGAAATGTGCCCACCCCAAGGGATAAGCTGAATGCGTTACTGATTGCTCCCCAGACAGGCAGGGTTTTCTCCATTTTCCTTGAAACCTCAAAAAGTGGCGATCGTTTGAATGGACACCACCACCAAATTGTGTAGGGGAAATCCACCTTTCAGGGATCACATTCATTGCATAGGAGCCAGAGCTACCTAAGCGCTCTGATGTGCAAGCCTGCCAGGCTGGATGCATGATTGTCACAAGTCGCACACACCCCGCCTCAGCTTCCTGTTGCTTGTTGATCGAAGGCTGTGACTCTGACAGAATAAGGAGAACACTGCATCCCCCGCAATTAAGGCTTACAGAACCTCAAAAGGAGTTTATAGAAGGATTCTGCGAACCTTTCTGTGGTGGGTGTTTTTCGCCCAAATGTCTCTGCAAGCTGGGTGAGTCTTGTTGCTCGTTCAGTCGGGAACCACAGTGGTGACTGCAGATATTGTGACCGTCGCTGTTCTCGATGTTCTTCATCCAGTTTTCTCTCTCAGGCAGACCTCAAAAGTGCCAACGACTGCAAGAGTGGTATATGTCTCTGAATCAGCTAGGTGTGGCTCAAAATTAAACAGGAGGGTTACGCAGGTTTTGGTCCACATTTCCACTTACCAGGGTTCCATTTTGGTACCGAATTTTTGAGCCACAGCCAGCTGATCGAAAGTCGCAACCCGACGCCCCGCAAACAACTTGCCCAACGAACTTGAAAATCCACTAGTCAACTGCGGCGAAGATGGTGGACTCCCCAAATGGTCTTCAGCTTCACTTTGGTTTCACTTTGACGCAATCACACAAGGGGTACCCTCAAAAAACACAGGATCACGCACGCCTGGCTTGGATGGAGGCCAAAGTGAAGGAGCTGCAGGACGCGCAAGAGGCATTGCAGCGTTCGAAGAGAGAGAAGGATGGTTTGCAGGCTGAACTGCAGAAGGCAGGGTGCGTGGTGTCGAAAAGGACGATTGTTGTTGGAAGATGTTCCATGTGATTCAGCGCAAGTCATATTGCAGATATCTGTTTGAGAGGCATGTGGACGGGGCCATGCTTGAGCTAGGCGCTGCTGCAAGCGCAGCAGGGGCAGAGGCAAGTAGACTCGCTGCAGGCCGGGTTCCTGTTTGGTGGACGGCAAGTTGCGAAGTGTTTCACTGCGCAGAACATTGGACTGGTTGTGTCTTTGCCACAATGCCTTGTGCTATTGTACGGCACAGCAGGTTTTGCACTGTGTGTCGCCGTGACGTTTAAATCAATGTGTTGTTTCCGCTTGGATGGAGGAGAAAGTGGCGGAGCTGCAGGGCATAAAGGAGGACTCCGCGCGATCCAAGAAAGAGAAAGATGGTTGGCAGGCTGAGCTGAAGAAGGCTGGCTGGGTCGCTGTTGAATATGGCATTGAGTGTTGGAAGATACTTGGAATGTGGGGGCAGTTGCCATCGCAATACCTGTTAAGTGAGATTGAAGAGATCTCTTTGAGCGGCATTTGGAGGGGGGCCATGCTTTCCGATTCACTTCGGGGAGAGCATGTGGTTGCATTCACACGCTAGGCGCAGCTGCAAGCGCGGCAATCACAGAGCCAAATAGACTCGCTGCAGGCCAGGATCCTGCTGTTGCCGTGTTTTGCAGTGATGTATAAAGTGATATGTAATGAATATGTCTGCCAGTGATTCATGTCATCCTTTCTTTGGGTCTCGTCCTCGCTGAAGTCTTCCGTGCCCGGAAATTAGCTTTTGCTTCTTGGGTTTCGGAAGTTCCCAAATGGACTGCAAACTACACTTCAAATGTGACTGAACCTGAACCTCATATACTTGGTGGCTCCCAGCCATCCGGTTCCTTGGCCTTTTAGGCTTTTCAGTGGTGGTAATTTCCATTTCACCCACTACAAGTTAAACTTTTCGTGGGGGATCTGCGCCCAGCATACAAGACATCTCCTTCCAAAGGCGCCTGGCAAAGCCACGAGGTTCGCAGTCGAGAGCGCCGACATCCGAACGAAACGCCAAAACCATCCGCTTCAGGAATCGTCAAATCCGCTGGCATTTGTTGCAGAGTTTTGGGAGTGGCGCCTCGCCGGCCTGGGGAGAAGATATTGGGCTTCTTTTATGGTGCCCAAAGGATTGGATTCATCCAAGTGCGAGTGGATTGATCGAAATCGCAACCAGACTTTCTGCAAATGATCTTCCCAACGAACTTGAAAATCCACTAGTCAACTGCGGCAAAGATGGTGGACCTCCAAATGGGCTTCAGCTTCATGTTGGTTTCCCTTTGACGCAATCAGAAAAAGGGTACGCTTGAAAACACAGGCACGCGCACACTTGGCTTGGATGGAGGCCAAAGTGACGGAGCTGCAGGGGGTGCAGGAGGAATCCGCACGGTCGAAGAAGGAGAAGGATGGTTTGCAGGCTGAACTGCAGAAGGCGGGTGCGTGGCGTCGAACAGGGCGTTTGGTGTTGGAAACAGTTCCATGTGATTCAGGGCAAGACCTGTCGCGAGCTTGACATATTGAAGATGTCTCTGTGAGCAGAATGTGGAGGGGGCCATGCTTGAGCTAGGTGCAGCTGCAAGCGCAGCAGGGGCAGAGGCAAGTAGACTCGCTGCAGGCCGGGTTCCTGTTTGCTGGATGACAAGTTGTGACGTATTGCACGGTGCAGAATGTTGGATTGGGTGTGGTTTTGCCGCAGTGCCTTGTGTCTTGGTATGGTAGCATGCCTTGCTGCGGTACGCAGTGTAGAAAGTGATATGTCAACCCTATGTTTGCCAGTGATTAATGTCATCCTCTATTTGGCCGGAAGCCCAACTTGATCGACATGTTCCCTTATGAAGGGACCCAGATCTATGCGCCATGGTCAAAACTCCGAAGGTTTCCCCAAGATGACTTGGGAAGATCATTGGGAAGTTCCCAAATGAACTGTAAACTACAGGCAAATGTGACTGAACCTCATATATAAGCGTCTCCTTCCAAAGCCGCCTGGTGAAACCACGTTCAGCTCGACATCTCCTCAAAAGCCACCGGGAGTTTTCTCGATTGACCCAAGAATTTGCAGGGTTCCGGTAGAGGGATCCAAAAACCATCCGCTTCAGGAATCGTCAAATCCGCTGGCATTTGTGTCGGAGGTTTTGGGAGTGGCGCCTAGCCGGTTTGGAGACAAGAAATTGGGCTTATTTTTTGGTGCCCAAAGGATTCATCCAAGTGCCAGTGGATTGATCGAAATCGAATGATCTTCCCAACGAACTTGAAATCCACCAGTCAAATGCGGGGTGGACCCCCAAGTGGTTTCCCTTTTCCTCGAAGAACACCGGCAAACACAGCTGGCTTGGATGGAGGCCAAAGTGACAGAGCTGCAGGGGGTGCAGGAGAAATCCGCACGGTCGAAGAAGGAGAAGGATGGTTTGCAGGCTGAACTGCAGAAGGCAGGGTGCGTGGCGTCGAACAGGGCGTTTGGTGTTGGAAACAGTTTCATGTGATTCAGCGCAACCTGTCGTGAGCTTGACATATTGAAGATGTCTCTATGAGCGGAATGTGGAGGTGGCCATGCTTGAGCTAGGTGCAACTGCAAGCGCAGCAGCGGCAGAGGCAAGTAGACTCGCTGCAGGCCGGGTTCCTGTTTGGTTGATGGCAAGTTGTGACGTATTGCACGGTGCAGAATGTTGGATTGGGTGTGGTTTTGCCGCAGTGCCTTGTGTCTTGGTATGGTAGCATGCCTTGCTGCGGTACGCAGTGTAGCAAGTGATATGTCAACCCTATGTTTGCCAGTGATTAATGTCATCCTCTATTTGGCCGGAAGCCCAACTTGATCGACATGTTCCCTTATGAAGGGACCCAGATCTATGCGCCATGGTCAAAACTCCGAAGGTTTCCCCAAGAGGACTTGGGAAGATCATTGGGAAGTTCCCAAATGAACTGCAAACTACAGGCAAATGTGACTGAACCTCATATATAAGCGTCTCCTTCCAAAGCCGCCTGGTCAAACCACGTTCAGCTCGACATCTCCTCAAAAGCCCCCGGGAGTTTAACCGATTGACCCAAGAATTTGCAGGGTTCCGGTAGAGGGATCCAAAAACCATCTGCTTCAGGAATCGTCAAATCCGCTGGCATTTGTTTCGGAGGTTTTGGGAGTGGCGCCTAGCCGGTTTGGAGACAAGAAATTGGGCTTCTTTTATGGTGCCCAAAGGATTCATCCAAGTGCCAGTGGATTGATCGAAATCGAATTATCTTCCCAACGAACTTGAAATCCACCAGTCAACTGCGGGGTGGACCCCCAAGTGGTTTCCCTTTGCCTCGAAAAACACCGGCAAACAGCTGGCTTGGATGGAGGCCAAAGTGACGGAGCTGCAGGGGGTGCAGGAGGAATCCGCACGGTCGAAGAAGGAGAAGGATGGTTTGCAGGCTGAACTGCAGAAGGCAGGGTGCGTGGCGTTGAACAGGGCGTTTGGTGTTGGAAACAGTTTCATGTGATTCAGCGCAACTTGTCGTGAGCTTGACATATTGAAGATGTCTCTATGAGCGGAATGTGGAGGTGGCCATGCTTGAGCTAGGTGCAACTGCAAGCGCAGCAGCGGCAGAGGCAAGTAGACTCGCTGCAGGCCGGGTTCCTGTTTGGTTGATGGCAAGTTGTGACGTATTGCACGTTGCAGAATGTTGGATTGGGTGTGGTTTTGCCGCAGTGCCTTGTGTCTTGGTATGGTAGCATGCCTTGCTGCGGTACGCAGTGTAGCAAGTGATATGTCAACCCTATGTTTGCCAGTGATTAATGTCATCCTCTATTTGGCCGGAAGCCCAACTTGATCGACATGTTCCCTTATGAAGGGACCCAGATCTATGCGCCATGGTCAAAACTCCGAAGGTTTCCCCAAGAGGACTTGGGAAGATCATTGGGAAGTTCCCAAATGAACTGCAAACTACAGGCAAATGTGACTGAACCTCATATAAGCGTCTCCTTCCAAAGCCGCCTGGTGAAACCACGTTCAGTTCGACATCTCCTCAAAAGCCACCGGGAGTTTAACCGATTGACCCAAGAATTTGCAGGGTTCCGGTAGAGGGATCCAAAAACCATCCGCTTCAGGAATCGTCAAATCCGCTGGCATTTGTTTCGGAGGTTTGGGAGTGGCGCCTAGCCGGTTTGGAGACAAGAAATTGGGCTTCTTTTATGGTGCCCAAAGGATTCATCCAAGTGCCAGTGGATTGATCGAAATCGCAACCAGACTTTCTGCAAATGATCTTCCCAACGAACTTGAAAATCCACTAGTCAACTGCGGCGAAGATGGTGGACCACCAAATGGGCTTCAGCTTCATGTTGGTTTCCCTTTGACGCAATCAGAAAAAGGGTACCCTCGAAAACACAGGCACGCGCACACCTGGCTTGGATGGAGGCCAAAGTGACGGAGCTGCAGGGGGTGCAGGAGGAATCCGCACGGTCGAAGAAGGAGAAGGATGGTTTGCAGGCTGAACTGCAGAAGGCAGGGTGCGTGGCGTCGAACAGGGAGTTTGGTGTTGCAAACAGTTCCATGTGATTCAGCGCAACCTGTCGTGAGCTTGACGTATTGAAGATGTCTCTGTGAGCAGAATGTGGAGGGGGCCATGCTTGAGCTAGGTGCAGCTGCAAGCGCAGCAGGGGCAGAGGCAAGTAGACTCGCTGCAGGCCGGGTTCCTGTTTGCTGGATGACAAGTTGTGGCGTATTGCCCGCTGAAGAATGACGGACTGGGTGTGGTTTTGCCGCAGTGCCTTGTGTCTTGGTCTGGTAGCATGCCTTGCTGCGGTACGCATATTACCCAGGTCTATGCGCCATGGTCAAAACTCCGAAGGTTTCCCCAAGCTTGGGAAGATCATTGGGAAGTTCCCAAATGAACTGCAAACTACAGTCAAATGTGACTGAACCTCCTGTATAAGCGTCTCCTTCCAAAGCCGCCTGGTGAAACCACGTTCAGCTCGACATCTCCTCAAAAGCCACCGGGAGTTTAACCGATTGACCCAAGAATTTGCAGGGTTCCGGTAGAGGGATCCAAAAACCATCCGCTTCAGGAATCGTCAAATCCGCTGGCATTTGTTTCGGAGGTTTTGGGAGTGGCGCCTAGCCGGTTTGGAGACAAGAAATTGGGCTTCTTTTATGGTGCCCAAAGGATTCATCCAAGTGCCAGTGGATTGATCGAAATCGCAACCAGACTTTCTGCAAATGATCTTCCCAACGAACTTGAAATCCACTAGTCAACTGCGGCGAAGATGGTGGACCACCAAATGGGCTTCAGCTTCATGTTGGTTTCCCTTTGACGCAATCAGAAAAAGGGTACCCTCGAAAACACAGGCACGCGCACACCTGGCTTGGATGGAGGCCAAAGTGACGGAGCTGCAGGGGGTGCAGGAGGAATCCGCACGGTCGAAGAAGGAGAAGGATGGTTTGCAGGCTGAACTGCAGAAGGCAGGGTGCGTGGCGTCGAACAGGGAGTTTGGTGTTGCAAACAGTTCCATGTGATTCAGGGCAACCTGTCGTGAGCTTGACGTATTGAAGATGTCTCTGTGAGCAGAATGTGGAGGGGGCCATGCTTGAGCTAGGTGCAGCTGCAAGCGCAGCAGGGGCAGAGGCAAGTAGACTCGCTGCAGGCCGGGTTCCTGTTTGCTGGATGACAAGTTGTGGCGTATTGCCCGCTGAAGAATGACGGATTGGGTGTGGTTTTGCCGCAGTGCCTTGTGTCTTGGTCTGGTAGCATGCCTTGCTGCGGTTCGCGACGCAGGAAGTGATACGTCAACCCCATGTTTGCCAGTGATTCTTGTCGCTGAAGTCTTCGCCGAAGGTTTCCCCGAGACCTGGGAAATGTTGCTTGCGGCCACTTGGTTTGGGAAGTTCCCCAAAGGGACGGAAAAAACTACAGCTATATAGAAGCGTCATATAAGGGGACTGAACCTCATATAAGCGTCTCCTTCCAAAGGCTGGCGAAGCCACGGGATTGTACCAGATTTGCCGCGTGGCAGCAGATGTGTTCTTAGTTGCCACATGGGTCTGTCGGTTTTGGGGTACCATGTTTGTGTGGTGTGAAAGGGAAACCAAAATGAGAGCCGCCATTGTTGCGGGTGCACTGAAAACAGACACTCGCACATGGGATAAGTGCAAGCATTGCTCGCGATTGCTTTCGCATCTCAGGCTTTCACCACCCTGAGACGAGAGAGCCCTTGGTTCCCGGCACGCCTGAGCAGCTTGGATTGTCGCAATGGCGCATGTTTGGCCCAAGGTTGGATTTGGGGAGCACCTGAAGCCTCTGAATCAACCATGTATTGCAACAAATGAATCCACTGAGTTCCATGGTTTTGTCCTAAGAGGGACTTAGGCGAGAATAGATGAAGGGTGGGACAATCTCAACCAGAAGTTGGTGCGGATTTCCGGCCTTTTGATTCTTTACATATGTTTACCATCACCTTTGGGTAGGCCGCTGCAAGGTTTCGATTGTGACTCAGGTATGCGCTTATGCTGCCCAAAATTCTGGCTGGCCTGCCTTCAGCGACCCGGTCATGGCTGGAGAGTCTTCTGGACGTCGGCCGGCGTTTCCGAGAGGGGTGTCTTTTTTTCAGGGTACCCTGTTTGGCTGTCTTCAAAGGCAAGCCAAAAGTAAGCCAACCACCTTTGGGGCTTCCCCTAAAAAGGACACACCCAAGTGCTGAACAGGTACGGGTTCCACACGGGTCGTGATCGCAAGCAATGCGGCCAAAAACGGGGTTTGACCCTTAGAACAAAACAGCTACACGCAGTGCGGGGAGTGCAGCCCAACTAGGGCGGCGCTCCGCCTTCTGGTAAACTTAGTGCGCCAATCAGTTGATGCTTTTGGGGACTCACCTGGGAGTGTCGTCCAACAATGGAGGGCCCCGCTTGCCATGGGACCCATGCCCCGAATTTCCAGGAGACTGGCAAAGCCCCTGGACCGCTGCCGGAGGACGCCGAGGGGGTCTGTTTGAACGCCACCATCAAATTGCCAAGGGGAAATCCAGTGACCCTTCATTGCATAGGAGCCAGAGCTACCCAAGCGCTCAGATGTGCGAGCCTGCCAGGCTGGGTGCATGACCCACAAAAGGGGTTGTAGAAGGATTCTTAAAACCTTTCTGGGGTGGGTGTGTTGTCGCCCAAATGTCTCTGCAACCTGGGTGAGTCGTGTTGCTCGTTCAGTCGGTGTACCGCAGTAGTTTGCGACCATATTGTGACCGCGCTGTTCTGGATGTTTTTCTCCCGGCTTTCTCTCAGGCAGACCTCAAAAGTGCCATGGCTGCAAGAATGGTGAGAAAAAGACAAACATCGGATGGCTCTTGCGCATCTCATGACCCCTTTCCCTTGACACTGGAGATAGCTGACCAGTCAGGGACTTGAGAACGTCGCAAGGGTTCCGCTAGAGCCATGTAGGAAAGCGTCAAGAGCTCGCACAAAAGCCAGCGCCCGAGGACATCCCAGGCCGATCGGGCGCATGTAGGGTGTACCAAACACACATCTGCTTCTTGTCTTGGAATTGTCTTAGGGGCTCCAATATTGGTTTCCTTGTAGTTTCCCTTTATTCCCACAAAAATGGGGTACCCTCAAAGGAAGACACACCCAATCCCAGATGCTCGTTCGACTCCGTTTTATGCTTTTGACTCCTTCATACACCCTCGACGCTGAAAATTATGATCGATCAGTCATGTTTTCTCATTTTGGCAAATCCTGCTCTGCGTCAGGGCCGCAACAGAGAGCTTGGTCATTGCTGCCGTGTCGCCGCGTGCATCTTGTTGCATGTACGCACAGGGCACCTTTTGCCCAAACACCAGCATGTGCCCTCGAATTGTGAAGTGCTGCCGGAGCGCAGTGTTTGCAAACCATTGTATGTTACATGCTTGGAGAATGCTTGAATCCGTCCTCGCTTTTCTCAAAAATGGCAAGCGTTGCGATTTATCTGTCATTACGCGAAAGTTCACAGTCATTGGGCAAAATGTCACGGTCAATAGGTTTTACCAACTTCCGAAGTTGAAACTGACAATGCCTGTGAAGAAGAGGCAAGCAAATCACTCAGTCGAACCATATAATTTGCCAACGTAATCCGAATTTATACTACAGGTCAGTAGAACATTTGAGCCTCCGGGGCAGCACCAATGATTGACGCCGAATCCTAACATCTGCCCACAAATCATAGCCATGTAAGAGTGAAACATTGCAAAACCTCATCGATGCCGGAAAACAAGATCGACCTCGTAATACACAAAGGACTGCTCCTCACACCCTCGCTGGGATCGCCAGGTTGCGACGAAACCCGGCAGCTGTACAAGATCTGCAGCCTGGCAGGGCGTTTTTAGTGGTTTGGAGCCTCCCTGAAAACCCTCAAGAGCCAGGGGTTCAAATCCAAATCCAAACCCCAATTGAGGGCTCCTGATTGCAGGTACTTGTCCGGTCAAAGTCTTTTGAAGACCATGGGTTTTGGCGGGAAAACAGCTGGTTTCGCGCGGCCCAATCGGGAAAAAACATATCCCATCCCCTGCATGAAGTTGGGGGAAGTGGTTCGGGATCCTGATGAGACCTCAGGCTTCCACGACCCGGATACGGGACGGCCGCTGGTGAAAGGCATGCCTGGGCACCTCTGGCAAAAAGGGCAATTTGGCGTCCGATTTTTTTTGACACCCAAATGCTAAATCTATAGAAAGAAAGTCGGGAATTAGGTCGTGGGGGGCTTTCCGGAAATTTGTTTGTGGAGTCTCTCTTTTCTTGGGTTGTGTGGTCCTGGCCTGAGGGAATCCTGATTCCAAGCCTTTGTAGAGCAATGAAAGCAGCCTCTCAAAAAAGAGACACACACACACACATCCCTCTTCTGCGCAGTGGCAATCGTCAAGTTCCCTCAAGATTCGGGCAACTGCCGCTTGCCACTTGAGGTTCGCGACGATTGCCCGTACGGCTCTGCAACATATGGAGGGCCAGCCGCAATGGATTCAAGATTTGCTTCGGAGCTTAGCCGAGTGAATCCGCTTGAAGCTTTCAGCTTTGCCGGGGATGTTTCCACAATTCCTTTTCTGTCGCCTTTTCCGTGCGACAGTGAATTCACCGCGCTTCCAGATTTCGGACAGTCCCATCGGATCCAGCCTTCGGAAGGTGAGTCTGCCGGGATCCCATGGGGCTCTTGGAACTTACAGCATTTTTTGGCTGCCAGTTGAACTCCTGGCACCTGCCGCCTTTAGCTAGCTTCGGGCGCCGGCGAAAATCTGCACTGGGTGGACCGATGATGTCAATGGGCGGTTCGGGCAATGACTGGATTCAGTGGACCAATGCACGGTATTTCACGACCTGGGGCGTGTTCCTGCATGACAACTAGCATTTTTAGCATGCGTCAGCTTCCGGCAAGAGTTGTGGTCTCTAGATGGAGGTCGATGGACCTAAGGGAGACGGGATACCAAAAAGGAAAAAAAGCAAAGAAACAAGAAACCATGCTGACTGGTCGCAGGAGCAAATCTCCGCGGCCCGTGAGCGGCTGGAGGGCAGCCAGCAGCGGCACCATGCCGCCAGGCGGGAAGATACTCCTCAGCTTCTCAATAGCGGCGGGGCCTCGTTTGGAAGCCGCCCAGAGGAAATAAAAAGCGCCGGTTTGGGGCTACCCTGCTACTAACAAACGTGGAAGGCACCTTTCGGAAGAGCAATAACCTTTGGAAAGGGCTGTCTATGCACTTCAATGTTTGGGGGACGAAGCCAAAGGCATCTGAATTGTTGAACCCCCAGGTGAGGCTTTTCGCAAGATCTCCTCAGTTGTCTTTGGTCCATTTTGGAGGAACATGAGGGCTACTCACTAAGTCAGTCAGGCAAACCCTTTAACCCCTACAACCCTCTTATAAACCTGGTTAACCAATTTGGTGGAGTATGGTGGAGTGTTCCGTGGCAAAAGTGCGCAATGTGAGTTCGCTGTCAGGTTAAAGCAGGCAGCTGCGGCTGCGGATGGAAAGCTCTTCGCCACGCTGGACTTCACCCGGCAGCAGATCGAGGCGTTCCGAACCCGGACCTTGGATGTTCAACCAACTCAGTAGGTTATATCCTTGGGTATGGGTCAAAATTAAACCAGGGGACCGCAGGTTGTAGTCCTTGGTTCCATTTACCAGTGTTCCATTTTGGGTGCCCATTTTGACCCACAGCCAACTGCTATTGGGTAACGGATCTTTAGACTTTAACTTTTTGGGTGAAATCAAGTGGGGTTTTCCAATAAATCCACAAAAATCAAAACTGTTTGCAGGGGGTCAACAGCAACCAAGTAACCATGGTTGTAACTTGGGTAGGGTTAGTCCTCTTATGACCATAGTGATACCCTTAACTGCTGTTGGGTCACGGATCTTTAGACTTTAACTTTTTGGGTGAAATCAAGTGTGGTTTTCCACTAAAGCCCCAAAAAGTCAAAACTTTTTGCAGGGGGGTCAACAGCTACCAAGTAACCATGGTTGGACCATAGGTGTCCTTTTAGGCTGTTGGTAGGAAAATGGCGGTGATTCCTGGTCGACCTGGTTGTTTTGTGATCTACCAGGCCAGACCTGTTGCCAACAGGACACCCGGCTTTTAGTACGCAACATGTTCCTTTTCACGGTTGGTGTCCCACCATGCTGGTAAATGCAGAATCCAACCAGGTTTGTGTTGTTTGTGTGCTATCCAGCTCGAACGACTGCTTGTTCCAAGTCGAAAACTCATCTGTCCAAACAGCAGTGGTCAGGGTGTGCAGGAGCTTAAAGGGTCCCACCATTTCAATTCTTCATGTTGAATCAGTTGTCACTTAGTTGGCGGTTTGGATTGGGGGCTTGGAGATTTGGATTACCCCTGGTTCTCGTAGGCTGCAATTAATTGGGACCCCCGAGGAACACCTCCAAACCACCCTTGAGGGAATCTGAAAGGAGACCTAATTGCCCGACAGGACTTCGAGCGATTGGTGGCGCGACTGCGGGAGGCGCGGGAGGAAGGATCCGGTCGGAGCTTCATTTTGAGCGGGGTCTCTGCCCAAAAAGGCTCTGGGGTAGTTCGGAGAGGCTCCGGCGGTTGCTGTTGAAGATTCTGATGGGCGAAGTCCGTTCACGCCACTTTGAAAACGCTGAAACTATTGGTATCGTTGGTGAATCGAGTCGTTCCTTCGGGTTTCTCAACGGTAAGTGGATCCCGCGACCATCAAAGCAACACGCAGGCCCGAGGCACCTACAGCAAGAGCGAGCTGGAGGCGGTCAAAGCTCAAGGCCGGGGTTGGGTTCTTCAAACAGGCCCGGGGTTGGTTTCGTTTCCCTATGGAACCACCACGACATAAACACATACCCTCAGAAACAGACATCCCACGGTGATGTGTTTACTAGTAGGTTGGACATGTTGGCCATGCTTCATGCTTTTGGGTCTGAAAGTGTCCCTGGCGCAGAGAAGTTTGATTATTAGCGGTGCGGACCCCCAAAATAGCACTGGCTTCCCTTTAGGACCATATTTTGACAAAAAGGTACGGCCTCAACAAACGACCAGCCACCCACGTGGGAATTTGCTTCAAGTCGGAACGCCAGACTGCGAGCCAATTGGAAGCTCTGAGCGGTCTCGCATCCCGGAGCTCTTCGAACTTGTTAGGACTGGGATGGGGGGTGTAGTTGCGACTATAGTCATCCTCGTTGTTTTTTTGTTTCCCTTCCCCGAAGCAAAGGGGCACATGTTCTACCAGGCGCCGTTTGTTTCCCTGCACCGGAAGCAAAGAGGCACATTCTGTGCCATATTTACCATAGGGGATACCTGCATGTTCGAGTGTTCCAAGAGCGGAAGTGCATGCATTTGCATGTGACTTGTTTCATTCGGGAAATCTTTGGTACACCCCGTGCAAGCAAAGCAAGGGGGGGGATGTCAACCAACCATATTTGTGTGTGGCTCAAAATTGAAGAGCTGGGGTTGCAGGTTTTAGTCTTTGGTTCCATGTAAGGAGCCATTTTGGCACATTTTTCTGAGCCACAGCCATTTGGAGGTGTTCCAACCACCCTTGTACAACTATGCAACCAGGAAAGTTCTTCAAAAGGCACACCTTCTGGCCAGCTTACATCTCTTGCCGTTTTGTGCAGTATCACGCGGTGGACTCTTTTCTGGTTCTTCTTTGCTGCCACTCCTTCTCTCTTGCGGCCGTTTTTGGCACTTATCACAATGGTTGAGGGGAGCGTACCCCTTATGCCGCTTCCTCGCTGACCCTTCGCCCTTGCGTACATGCCCCTTGCCCTGGAAGAGATGCAAAAGAATTAGAACTACCACCCCGTGAACCAAAGGTGAATTGAACTGACCGGTTCCCAATGTTGGTCAAATGTGTAGTCAAGGTTCCACATTTGAAGAGGAGTCTTCTTTGAAGGATTTGTTGGGGGGTTTCTTCTTAATCTGCTGGCGGAGTAGCCAGGCTGTTTTGGTTGTGAGCCATTCCTGCCAGCAAGTCGTTCTAGCTTTTGTTTAAGAAAGGGTTCAGCTCCATTTTGACATCTATCCATTTTTCCTTTCTGCTTGGCTGGTTGCAGAAAAACTGGCGGTTCAGCTTCCAAGTTTTCATCCTCAAGTCCTGCTTTCTAATTCACCCCCCCCTCCCCCCCCCCCGACCGCCCCACCATGGGAGGGTGCTCCCACAGACATGTGGCAAACGCCTTCCACACACATGGACCATCCCCACATATATATATATATATATATGTTTTGGTTTTGAAGCATTCATGAGCGAATTCCGTATAGTAAGTCCTTGCTGTGACAAGTGCAATTGGCGTGACACAGCGCAGTGCAAGGAACACCCCCAACCCCCCCAACAGAACCGCATCGAACCATGGAACCCTCCGGAAATCTGAAGGCCAGTCATTGGCGATAAGACCACGGCTGTCACTTGTACAACGCATGCAACAGGGTGCCCGAGAGTTACCGCGCATTGGGATCGACGAGACCGCCCGGCCCCCCTGGGCCCCCCGGCCCCCTGTCGAGGAGGGCGAGCCGACGGAAATTGGAGCTGCAGGGAAGGCAGCAATGGCTGCTGGCGAATCAGCGCCAGGCAGAGCAAGACAGGAACTACGCCCGCAAGGCGCCTCCCTTCAGAAAAGCCTTAGCCATGCCTTTGTGTCCCTTTTGGAAGGGGGGAACCCCCTTGAAAATCAACTAAAAAAGGTTCCCGTTGGTTCTTGCTCGTGGCCGCTGCAGGCTTGGCTCGGTTTGTATGTTGCGATTGCTGCATCACCTTGGGCTGCCAATCTTCAAACAATTCTTCTTTGTAAGCTCTCTTCCAACTCAGTTTCAATCAGGGTTGATAGCTTTCGGGCGCTGCTCAGGTGAGTGAAGCTTTGTAGCGGGGCCCGTGCCGTATGCGCTCACTCTTTTGATTATTGGGTTGTGAGTGTGCCCTTTTTGTAATTACCTGGATGTGGAAATGGAACCTTTAGGTTCTGGGATGGGCTTTGCGCAGACCTCAACATCGGTTGGGTTCCCGGGCAACTTGCGTGCGACACGCTGAGGCGCTTGACCAAGCGCGCGGCAATCTGTTGCAGCTGCAGGCTGGTCTTGTGTCGCCTGGGGTAGGGACGGTCGTGGACCCTGTGACGCAGAATTTAGACCTGTCGTGAGTCGGAGGTTAAAGTTTGAAGGGTGTCCAAAGGAAAGGCAGCAGGAATCCATGTTTGCATGTGTTCCAACCAATGCATTTTTGCCAGGGAAACAAGAAGGGAAACAGGCAGATTTGGGTCTTCCTTTCTGAGCATGCCCCTTCTTGGTTGGTTTTAAAGGGAAACCCAAAGAAAAATCAAACGAGCCACCCATTTTCCTGGTTGAGGGTCCCCAGAGCCAGGCGGAACGACTCCAAGTGTGCCAAGAACGGTACAATGCATCGCAAGAGGCGGGCCAGTCCGCCAAGCACTTGCCACATTTGTTCAGCTCTAAGTATAGTACATTATCTATATATGGGTACATGACAGACTTACATGTGTATATATATATATAGGTGTATGCATAAGTACATGTACCTACTTATACATACATGCATGAATGCATACATACATACATGCATACATACACAAATATATACATACGGATGATATACATACACACACACATATATATATATATATATATATAGAGAGAGAGAGAGAGAGTGGGAGCGAGAAAACAAGAGAGAAGCGAGTTCGAGACATGATCGACGTCTTCTTTCATGCAGGGTGGCGTGTTTGACTGGCCCGAGACTTACCAGGGGGTCCTCTTTTTCGCGAGGGTTCACATCAACCTTCGCAGAATCAATCCTGAAGCCTTGATTACGTGAGTGTGTCTCCAAATGAGGTCCAGATGCTCCAAACCAGACCCAATGCAAGGTGGCTTTACGATAGAGGCTTGCTTGTTGGGTAAGTATGTCTTCCCTGGTAGGGGAGTTTGAATGGATCCCATATGGGTTTGTCTCCGAATGGGGGACACTAAGATACAGGGCAAACAAAAGGAAACTCTCTTTGAGGTCGACGTATGAAGCCCCGCATCTGTGTGTTGAGTGGTTCCTGTTTGTCCCATGAGTCAGACAAGGGATAATTACCGTCTCGTTTTCATGTTCCAAATGGGTTGGTTGTGGGTATACTCGCACAGGGACCCCCATGGGTTTGTCTTCAAGGGAATTCAACGAGCAAAACACGGTTACCCCAACGCCACTGCCTCAAGCACATGTCCGGTTCTTGCCCCGCTTGTGTCTTCCACAAGGGAGTGTATTTCGGGGTAGCGTGCTTGGGGAAAGGGGAGGGGTGATGAGGGCTAAAAGCCCAAGCATGTGTCCTGACTCCCCAAATTTCTAGACTTACTTGCAAATTGGCCTTGCTTGCAAATAGTCCCCCTTTGCCTTCAAAACCACTATCAAGACTCAGATGCACAGGTGTCCTTCTTAGGTTTTCTCCATCCATGGCCATCGATTTTTGTTTCCAGTGAAAGGCTATTCGAATTTTCTCCCCGGAGGCTTCGCAGCTGGCCTCATCAGCTGGGCTTGGCTCCTCTGTGCTGAAGGACGCAGTCTAAATCCCCGAGTTCCTTCCAAAGGCTCAACCCCAAAAGGGGTTCTTTCTGACACATTCGTTTTTGAATTGGGCGGGATCCTGAAAGCTTACCTTGGTTTTGTGATTGCACATAGCTGGCAGGAAATGGTTTTGGATTTGGACGTTTGTCGTGCATAGGAGTGGTTGTACACCCCCGTAAAGCTATGGTATCTTTCTTGAGCACCGAACAAACGGTTTGGATTTGCAATTGGCGGTTTCTTCCTGCCGTTTTGTCAGCTTGGGATTAATCCGCCCTGCTAATCAGGGGTGTTTCGCTGTTGAATCAATACATTTACGTAGGTGTTTCGCTGTTTTCGTGGTCAGTCATGTGAGCAGGTGAGACTATGGGGGGAGATCCAACAAATCACATCCAAGCCGCACGGCCTGCATCAGGAGCTGTGCAAACAGCTGAGGGCGCAAGAAGGTGCGCCCCAGGTTGCCAAAGAAGAACCGCAGGTGCGGCGCGCAGATTCAAAAGTGAAAGCTCCTGCTCGCAATATGGGTGTGGGTCAAAATGAAACCACCATGGGGACCACAGGTTTTGGTCCATGTTGCCACTCACCAGGGCAAGCCATTTTGGGGTTACCCTATTTTTGACCCAGAGCCATATCCTTGTTTTGCGCAAACCCCAAGGTGGACATAAACCCAATGGTTCCTATTTGCATGGAACCTAAGCCGCGCCCCTGGGTTGAAGCCATGCGTAAGTTGGGAACTTGGGTCAATTTCAGTCCCCCTTGAGTGGAGCTGACCTTGGGGGCATTCAGGGGGGCCAAGCACTTGCCAAGTTAAATTTTCTTAAAATACCCACTTTTGTTCAAAGGTATGATTCATATGATGTCATCCCCTGACTAAGAAGGTGGTACTTGCAGTGAAACAAACATATTTGGATCAAGCAGGGTTTCCACGACAAGCACAAGCTTTTTAGTCAGGGGATTTTCATCATACTACGGAACAAGTGGGTATTTGGAGCAGGGCGAACACTTTGCGCATGCTGCCAGGAAGCGCGCTCGCAAAGCAGGGCGTGGGGATCTTACCAAGAGCTGGCTTTGGGACACGCCTATGCGGTTAGTCTTCCGCTTTTGACGGTATCCAACACGTGGTTTCCAGTACCCCAAGCCACTCCGCCGAAAAAAGGGGAAGGGTTACTAACCACCTATGGTACGCCCTTGAATTTGGCATTGCCTTTGCTCTTGGCTAAGGCAGCTGTGGGCAGGCAGGGGATTGCACCGCCTCAGTTTGGTACGAACGTGGAGTCAAATGGTGACCTGAGCCACAAAGCTGTAGATTTGTGGGGGTGCCTTTCTATCGAGGGTTTCCGCTATCCCCAACCGCCAGGGGCAAAATGAGGCATGTCCGCAAAGGCGAGATGTCTCGTTCCCCCCAGGAATTGTATTGGTAGTGGACATCCTCTTAGATTGTAGAACCGTGCTACCCTGCCGATTAAGATGAAACTCCCAAAGTCCATGTCAAGAGGAAACCCCTTTTAAGTGAATCGGACCCCCTTTAACTAATTCCCTCCGTGAACAGGGGAAGTTCGGAAGGACCTGGGTTTGACTTTGAGGCACTTGTCCGTGACTTTGAATGACGCATATCGCACAGGTGCGACGAGTGCCCGGTGGGCCTCCTTCGGCTCAGCTCTTTGGCCGAAGGTGAGAGGCCGAAGGTGAGCGAAAGCCCGAGCTTTGGCGCTCGGATTTTTACATTTTCGTGCTTCAGACTTTGGAATTGTAACGTGAAAAATTTCAGAGAGGGGCAAGGTCTCGTATGGCGTATATGTGTAGACTTTGGCATACACATGCCTCTTGGAGCAAAGCTTTGACCGAGGCGGGACAGTGGCAAGGAGCATTCAACAAAATGCCGCGCTGAGCTGTGTGCAGCCTTGACCTTTGATGAATTCGCACACACCCCAGTTCTCACTGGGGGCAGGGGTCCCATTTCAGTGCGGATTCTTGTTTTTGAGGGAATCCCCTGCTTGGGCTGTACTGATCAGAGGTCAACATGACATGTAGTCTATGTCCTGCCCTGCTTGTTGTGACCATGGTGCTGATGTGGCTGTGCATTTGCAGCCATTCCTGCTGCAGACCAAACAAGTTGTCATGAGCCAACGTTGCGTGTCAACACACTGCGAACAGCTGCTGCTTCAAGATGGGATTGTCTCCAAAATGGGGGGAGTCCCTTATGTTTCCCTTCGACCTGCAAAGGATATCCTCCAAGATAGAAGCCCGGATGCCCCCATATTGCAAGTAGCCACGCGCCAACATAGGATGGTGCGCCGACCCGCCGATCGATCGGCGGGATCAGTGCCATGGATAAGCCGCACCAGGCTGCAGAGAATTTGGTGGATGGCTTGCTGCAGAGGGTGAGGACCGGGCTTGTGTTAGGATCCTTCTTGACGGGGAAACCAAAAGAAGCAATCTTGCATCTCTTGTTGTAGGTGTACCCCAATTTAACACATGCACTGTTTTGAAGTTTTGCCTTATCATGTCCATCCTCTTTTTTTTTACCGGCTTTTGGTTTCTTTCAGAAGAAGGGTCTGGCGCAGCGCATGCAACAGGACTGCAGACGGGGCGGCGGCAGGGGAAGGCCTGGTTTCCATTCACCAAAGGGTTTTGCCCCTCAACCCATTGGTTTGTTTTGGTTGAGCAGCGCCTAACCCCCCCATGGTTGCTACGTTAGATAGTTATATTTTCTGCTTTGATCAGGAGAATGGCAATGCCTGTATAAATCATGGCCAAATTGGCGGCACTGCTCAATTGAGCATCCTTTGGAAGCGCCTTAAGTTTGTTCTGAGCGTTTAATTCAGTCAAGTAGCAAGACGATTAGATGATGTTTGGGGAAATGGGCCCCAAATGTTCACTTCAGTTTGTTTTGCTCGAGCTTGGTGTGGCAGTGGTTCAATCATGTCAGGGGTCAAACTCAACCCTGCGAGGCAGCTCGACTTGCGTTCCATTGCCAGACTTACCTTACCCTTTGAACTTTTTCGCCTTTTGGTGTTCCTTCATTTTCCCTTAAAACCAGCAACAAATGGGCTCCAGTGTCTATTTTAAGGGGAGCACAAGATGACTGGGTTCCTTTTGGTGTCCACTTGTAACCAAAAAAGGGGGCTCCCGAAAGAACGAAAGAACGCCACCTCCCCCCCAAAGTGGCAATTTTTGCGGAGCCCGTCGGATCCAAGGCTCCAAAGACTTCCGATGGTCGGGTCCGAGACTTCGTGTCGGGCGTGCTCGACCGCGTGCGCGGCGTGCGCACCGGGAAGCCGAGCTCGTGGTTTCGCCGGTCTCGGGTGCAGGATGAGTTGGGCGAGTCAGCGCTTGTTTAAACATTCAGGGCCCAGCGAAGTGATCCCTTTTTTTCTCCGGGTGACTGAGTATGACACGGAATCCGAAACTTGTCTGTTTAGGCCCGGTTTGAGCTTCAGCGCCTGTTGAACAACCTTCGTTTGGTTTTCCTTTAAAGGGGCTAACAGCCTGGGGGTTTGAAACCATGCTGTCCAACCCTGACAGGATGCGAACGTGGTGCCTGAGCCAGTAACAGGGCCCAGCACACTTCCACCGGAGGTAAGGATACAACTGGCCTTTGGCGATTCCTGTGTGTACGCTGGCAGAGCGCAAAGCGTGATGTCGCCACCACACGGTCATCTCAGTCCAGCTGCGCATTGGCAGGATCCTTCACTCCTATCTTCGCTGCAGTTCACTGGCGATTCTGGCAGTCCACCACACGGTCATTTCAGTCCAGCTGCGCATTGGCAGGATCCTTCACTCCTATCTTCGCTGCAGTTCTCTGGCGATTCTAGCAGTCCACCACACGGTCATTTCAGTTCAGCTGCGCATTGGCAGGATCCTTCACTCCTATCTTCGCTGCAGTTCACTGGCGATTCTGGCAGTGCACAGGGCGTGAGGCCACCACCCCACAGTTATTCCGGTGCAGCTAGGCCTGAGCAAGATCCTTCACGTTTATCTTTGCTGCAGTTGACTAGCGATTCTGGCAGTGCACAGGGCATGGTGTCACCACCACACGGTCATTCCAGTGCAGCTAGGCCTGGGCAGGATCCTTCACTTATGTCTTCGCTGCAGTTGACTGGCGATTCTGGCAGTGCACAAGGCGTGATGTCACCACCACACGGTCATTCCAGTGCAGCTAGGCCTGGGCAGGATCCTTCACTCCTATCTTCGTTGCAGTTGACTAGCGATTCTGGCAGTGCACAGGGCGTGATGTCACCACCACACGGTCATTCCAGTGCAGCTAGGCCTGGGCAGGATCCTACACTTTTATCTTCGCTGCAGTTGGCTGGGGATTCTAGCAGTGCACAGAGCGTGATGTCACCACCACAAGGTCATTCCAATGCAGCTAAGCAGAATCCTTCACTTTTGTCATCGCTGCAGTGGACTGGGGATTCTGGCAGTGCACAAGGTTTGATGTCACCACCACAGCCTGGGCAGGATCCTTCACTCCTATCTTCGCTGCAGTTGACTGGCGATTCTGGCAGTGCACAAGGCGTGATGTCACCACCACACAGTCATTCCAGTGCACCTAGGCCTGGGCAGGATCCTTCACTTATATCTTCGCTGCAGTTGACTGGCGATTCCAGCAGTGCACAGGGCGTGATGCCACCACCACATGGTCATTCCAGTGCAGCTAGGCCTGGGCAGGATCCTTCACCTATATCTTCGCTGCAGTTGACTGGCGATTCTGGCAGTGCACAAGGCGTGATGTCACCACCACACAGTCATTCCAGTGCAGCTAGGCCTGTGCAGGATCCTTCAGGCAGTGCGCAGGGCGTGATGTCACCACCACACGATCATTCCAGTGCAGCTGGTCCTGGGCAGGATCCTACGCTTTTATCTTCGCTGCAGTTGACTGGGGATTCTGGCAGTGCACAAGGTGTGATGTCACCACCACGCGGTCTTTCCGGTGCAGCTAGGCCTGAGCAGGATCCTTCATTTTTATCTTCGCTGCAGTTGACTGGGGATTCTGCCAGTGCACAAGGTGTGATGTCACCACCACACAGTCATTCCAGTGCAGCTAGGCCTGGGCAGGATCCTTCGCTTCTTTCGGAGGAAACCACTTTGTCGGCCGCTCAAGAGCAGGGGATTTTGTCGCCTGTACCCCTCCAGCCAGATCTTGACAGCACGCAGGAGCAGGGTTGGGTTGTTTCTTTGGACAACCAGTCCCTTGAAGCAGTTTGGTTGTGCAAACGGTTGAGTGGGCTGGTATGGCCTCGACTGGTTGAAACAAGGGGCCAGGGATCGCTCAGGAGGTGCTTCGCGAGGTGCTTCTTGCAGCGCCAAACGTGGCGAAGGAGACCTCGGTTCCAGCGGAGGCGTTGCAGGCGTGGGATTCGACGAAGCATGCGTCTTTTGTCCACTTCTTGTCTTTGGAGGGGGAGGCGCCAATTGTCACACACATCGAGCCCTTGTTGAAGCCGTAGTGAAAACATTTACTTTTTCAATCAACCTCCTTTGAGTTGTCCCAGTTAAAGGGGGATCGAATCGGGCGATTCGGCGGGCTTGTTATCTCTTGACGGTTTTTTGACCTTAGGCCATTCAAGCGCTGCAGCTGCAGCTGCAGCAGCAGCAGCTGGAGAAGCAGCAGCTCTTGGGGGACCTCCAAAAAGCGCAGCAGCTGCTGCGCCAGAAGGATGCGAGCGTGCAGGCGGAGCCAGGTTTGGGCTCGGCTTCGGCGTGTCCGGGCCGCAACGCTGCTTTGGAGTCCGGTTCTGGTGGGGCAGAGACGTGCCCTTTGGAGAAGGCTGAAGGGATGGACAAAGGTCGCAAGGGCGAGGAGACGGCTGAGACCTTGGAGTCGGGCGCTTCGGAAGGGATGCCAGAGGTGCTTTGCAAGCCGAAGGATCACGAAAGCAGACATCCTGCCGGTCTCATGACTCAGAACCATCAGCACTGCCTGGTTCAGCCAGTTACGGTGCCAGAGGCTGAGAAGCCTGAAGGCATTGCTTCCAGCCCTGCTGCGCTGAGAGAAGTGGAGCGGCGTGCAGCGGAGACTCAGCGCCAGCTGGAGGTGGGCATGGGTCAAAGGAGTTGGACCCATTGTTATGGTGGTTTTTCTGTTGGTGTCCCAGTAAACCAAAGCAGAAAGAATGATAGCCATGGCTGATCTCAGGGAGTGTCATCCCCCTTGGGCCATCAAGAGTTGCTTCCAAAAAGATTTCCTGAAGAAGCGGTCTAACGTAGGAAGAAGAAGCTCTAGACCAACAAACCTAAAGATCTTTACGGAAAGGACACCACACAGGCAAGTAAAGAAATGAAGTATGAACATATGTTATTGATGATTCTCTTTTCTAAGTCTCTATCTCAATGTCTAATATGTCGATTCTGACCATTGGATTTTAATATATTTTATGTTAGAACTCTGATTGTCTCATATCTTTGTCTTGCATTTCCTTTTCAATTTGAGGGGTGAACCCTTGGCCTCAAAACCACGCCAGGTGTGCCTCCAGACTGCCGGAGGAGTTGGACTGGAGCGTAAGGTCAGACTGCAAAGCCCTCGCCCGGAGGTTTTCGTTGGCGAGGAGAGGGTGGCAGCCATGCCCTGGTCCAATGCCGAGACCCAAAATGATGGCGCGGCTACACAGTTGGGTGCTTGAATCTTTTTTTAATCCTGGTTCAAGGCTTCACTTTTGGGGTTGCTTGAAAGGGAAACCAGCACTACAGGCTAGGTTTTACCACCCCGGGTGCATTTCTTTGGGTTTCTTTTTGGCTCTGCTTTGTTTTTGCCCGAGGAGAAGTTGGCGGCCTGCCGGTTGTTGCGGTCCTGCCTCACGAATCTGCTGGACCCCCCAGAGGTGCTGCTCAAAGCTTCAGCCATGGTGCGGCTGAAGGCGGCGGTGGGGGAGATCTATGCGGTGCTGTGCCTTCAGACCAAGGCCCCTTGGGGGGAGGCGTTTCGGGGGAGTTGCCTGCTTTGGGTTGCCCTCCTGTCCACAGTGTGGCTCGAAATGAAAGAGCTGCGGTTACGCGGTTCTAGTCTTTCCATTTACCAGGGTTCCCCCACAAACACGGGGATCCCGTCCAAATGGTGCGGAAATCTCTTAAAATCAAAGGGTAACCCAACAAAACGCACAAACCCAAATCGAATCCTGGCACACATGGCTGGTCCACCGGGTGAAACCCCTTCTTCTTTCGGACCCTTTTGTCAAGACTTCCAAGTGGATTCTTTAATGGGGCAGGCGAACAGTTGATCAACCTGAAATGAGGACAACAGTCTTGGTGATTTGGGGAAGACAAGTGGAAACCCTCTGATTCGGGATGCGACAAATCCACACTTGCCCACGCCGATCTGTTCTTCTTTTGGTTTCCATGATTTAGTCCATATTTCATTGCTAGTCTTAGCTTATTTGCCATTTTGGTTCTGCATGGTTGCCGCTTCAACCGGCAAACAGTTGCAGCTGTTTGCAGGGTACTGGTCGAAGTTTCGTCAAGTTTTGGTCAATCCAAAACAGGTCCTTTGTTGGTTGTCCAACCAGCTTGGTAGATCATAACCATGGTTGTAAGGGCCAATAGCCTTTGTTTTCAAGTTAATTTGGTTGGACGTGCAAATTGGACAAGTGATCACCCGGAAGGCTAAGTCCTTTCTGGCTCAGCGCGCCCTGCACCAGCTCCAAAGACGGCGACAGCTCGAGCCCAAAAAGCGTCCTGTGACCGCGGGAAGCGTGCACCGGAGGCGGGGGCCGCGGATGTCGTTGTTCTACAAACCGAAAAAGTTAAAGCAGGCGTTGTTAGTTTTGTTCTATAAACGAACAACCGGCAAAAGAAGGGGCCTGCAGATGTGGTTCGTGGTTTCGCCCCACAAGCTTGGGGTGTGGATCATTTCCGTGCCAGGCATTCGCTGCCTGGGTCGCTGCACGATGATTTGACCGCCAGACGGCGATGGAGCGACCGGTCGGCGGAGTCGCCGGCCTTGCGCGGTCCGGCGCGTCCGGTGCCAGCGCCGGTGCCCACGGCGCCGGTGCCGCCCTTGGCACTGGACCTGGTGCAATTTGGGGAGCCACTGCCGGCTGAGCCGGCTGAGCCGGCCGTGCGAGAGGAGGGGGGCAAGGAGCAGCTGCCAGAGGCGGCTTGGTTTCAGGGAGCAATTCCGAAAAATGGTGGTGCCCTCGAACAGGCCATGGTACCCCTCAACAAAGGGTACCCTCAACAAAGTTTGTCTCAGAAAGGGCATCACCCAGCAGTTTGAGCCTGGCTTTACTCGTCACAAGGTGCCTCGTGGCAGTGCCATTTCTGCGGTGCGCTCCGCCACAGCCAAGCGGCGGCGGCCGATGAGCAGCCCAGCAGTCAGGGGGACGTCCGCCAAAGAGATGACGCCCGGCGCCGCAGTTGGCCATGAGATAGTCCCCAAAGGTTAAGCTCTTCTTTTTCCTGTGGGCAACTGAATTTAAATTATACTCTTCCGTTATTTTGTTTTTGGATCGAGTTTAGAGCTTGCTGTTTAGAGTTTAGAGAGCCGGTTATGAAATGCACCCTTCAAAGCTTCACTTTTCTTGCGAGCGATCTGAGGAAAGGGAGCTGCAGGAAGGCGTCCAGACCAGACAGCACTCGATGCGAGTACCTGCCACAAGCGGAATTGTTGCTGATCCATGGCACGCCGCGAAAGCAGTGTTTTGCCAAGGGCTACCTGTGGCCAGTGGTTTGGGTAGTGAAGCCTGCACCTTTTTTCCGCGAAAGCAGAAGTTCTTATGAACTGCCCTTTGAGTTCGATTGTTCCTAGGAGAAAAGTTACACATGGCGGAGAGTAGATGGCACACCGTTCTAGTCCTCCCCTTGACCTACCCGAGCGAATCGTGCCGTCTTCTGTCACCGAATCGCAGTTCGGCCGCGGGTTCCCTTTGCCCTTTCACCTCGGAGAATCTGAGTTAGGCGCCTTGCAAGGGTCTCTTGATGTGGCCATGGGTCAAAATCCAAAAGCCCGTACGCCCAGTGAACATCCCAATCCAACCACTAAAATAGGTTCTAACATGGGTGAATTCACCTACCAGCCAAAATGGGATATGGGTTTTGACGACCCCAGCCACGTCGCTTGGGTAAGGATCAAGCAGCGCGCGGTGGCCTCGATGCTGTGGCCCCCCATGTCGGATGCGGCCAGAGGCCGGCGCCCGAAGACCGCCTGCGCGCGGATCAGCAAGTCACACGGCACGGAGCCCTGCAAGGCGCGGGGGAGGGCGGTTCAGCTGGAGTTCCATGAAAAGACTCGGTTGATATAATTAAACGCCAGACCGCACCTAACCTGAGTTTCATTATCTAGATTGGGTCTGCATCATCTGGCTTGGGTCTTTGCCATTGTTTTGAAGGTTGAAGCCTAGGGTAGAGTCCGTTTTGCAGCCAGGAACCCTAAACCAGTACCCTTAAGGAAGGTTACAAACTAGACCCCAACTATTTGCGGGAGAGAGGGGAAGGTTCGGGGTTGGGCTTAGGGTTTTTGTCTTTAGCTTTCCCTCCAAGCACTGACACCAGCCGGTTGCCCTTTAAAACAATAATTGTCCTGCTGTCCACGTTGCCATGGACGGGTTCCATGTGAACAGGAGGGTACCAAAACAAGGTGTAATCTTTAGATATGCCCACATCAAGGGGGGGATCAGCAACTCTTGGGTCTCCTAAGACTACATATGAAACAGATGTGGCTGAGCAAAGAAGTTAAAGGCAGGGCTTTTGATGTTCCCTTGAGTTTCTCTTGAAACCCTCCAAGGGCGAGGGCTCAAAGGGCACCAAACAGGACGCGAACTGCAACCTGAGGTCGACCCCCAGCTTGTGGCGGCCATGGTCGCAAAGGAGAGGGCCTTGCAGCAACAGATGCAGGCGGTGGAAGACGCCCTTGAGCTGCCCGATTGAGCCATGCGAGCGATCTGAAAATTAGCAGAACCTGGTCCCTCAAGGAACACGTAAGTTTATGGGGTCGTTTCCAAGAGGGCGTGTAATTTGTTAGGATAGGTCCATTTGCATTGTCCTTGCGCGATCCGCAGTCGCCCGCCTGGCCACTGGCGCGGTGATTTGCAGAGTGGTCCGGAATTCGCCGTGAGTGGCTGGGTAGATTCAGACTGCTTGGCAGGCCTCAGGCCTGGCCGGCAAGTTGTGGCCAGTTTTAGGCCCTCTTTTTGTTTGCCCGGGGCCCGGTCGTGGGCGAACCGTCGTTTTTTTCCAGACCCCTGATTCGGCTCGAGTTGGAATTCGGCGTGCATGGCTATGCTGAATAGCAGCAGGGCAGGATTCACCGCGCAAAGGACAAAGGAATTTGAGCGCGGCGACCTGCGCGTGAGGAGGTCTGTTCGCTCCCCAAATGTGAAGCTTTCTTAAGGCTTATTTGGGATGATCGCAAACCGAATGAGTTTTACTGTCCCTTGGGTGTTGTTTTCGTTGACAGGGTGATCTTCCTGCCTAAGGCTGAAGGGCCGTAAGGCAGCCGCTTCGGCTCGAAGGTGATGCGGGGGTTCCATTTTGTCAGCCGAAAGCCACAGTTTGTCAGCCAAGTCCATCGTTCAACAGTCGAGAAGTCGATCAGTCTATAGTGCCTCTCACTTGCTTGCGCCCATCAGCCCAAGGCTTTGTCCGGCCCTCGGGGTGTTTCCTGACAACCGGCTGCCTTGAGCTTCCTTTGAGCAACCAAAAGAAGTCAACCCCCCTCCCCGTGTAAGCACAAAGGGCGAAATCGCAGCAACCCCCCTGAAAGAAAATAGGATTCAACATGGCTCCTTAAAGGATACACTTTGCCCATTTGAAACATGGCTTTTTCCACCAAAATACAGGGAAACCACCATTTAGAAGGCAATGTTCAGGTGTATAATGTAAGGATCCCTTTTCAACCACTGTTAGTTTCCCCCAAACGAGGAAGAGTCCTACACATCGAAGCCAAGGTGCGCAATGCAGCCTGCCGTCGCGGGCCCAGCTTTCGAAATGACAAGAAATTTAATATCCATCCGCAGTCATGCAACCGACTGCAGAGAACCGTCATGTTCCATGAGCAAAACTGCATGGATTGGTTTAAGCTACCCCGAAAAAGGCGGATCTTTGGAGTGACAGGCAGCTTGAAGATCACAGCTTTCTATGAGTGGCCATGTGGGGACGTGGCATGGTAGCATAGCATGTCACCTCGGAGAGCCGCATCCCAGGGACCTGGAATGGGCTGGAATGCCGGCCAGCCAGCGTTCAGAGTGATGAGGACTGGACGTGTGAGGTGATCACAGACGGCACTGGGAGCGAAACATATGCCAGTGCCAACGATTTGAGTGAGGTTTTAAAGGAACGAGGTGATCTAGGGATGCGTTCCTGTCAACGCAGCATATTACAGGGTGTCGGCTGTGGTGGGCCATGTCTTAGCGGGTTTTAGCGGGTTTTGCAGGTCGATAAATATCAGCGCCTAAGTCGTTGTTTAAGTGCTTCTGGGGACAAATCCTGCTCTGTTTATCCCAGTGTTCAATTTGTTGCTTCGTGTTTCAAGGTTTCCTCATGTTTCATCCACTGCGTGGCGTGTATGTCACAGCCACAAGACATGCGTCAGGCCTCGCACGCAAGGCTCAGCTGGCACGCAGTTGGGGCCTCAAACCATCGCACTGAATGGGCACACCACCAGGAGGTCACTCAAAAGCATTGGATATCCGTTGGGAGGTGGCAGGGAATAGTCAGCTCGCGTGGGTAACGCGCAAAAGGGATTTCTCTGAACATGGGTTATTGATGTCCATGGTCTGCGGAGTAATCAGTTCCGAGGTGGCAAGGGCAAGGGCAAGGGCAAGGCTTCGCTCTTCCGAATATGATGGATGAGGTATCGCCTAACTCCAATCTTCGGAGCCCCCGAGTCTCCCGGCCGACGACTCCCACGGGCCACCGCACGCCCACGGGCAATCGCACGCCCACGGGCAATCGCACGCCCACGGGGACTGGGAGCCGCACGCCCACGGGGACTGGGAGCCGCACGCCCACGGGGACTGGGAGCCGCACGCCGACGAGTGCTTTGCCTCCCACGGAGACGATGCTCAGCGGCATGCGTACTCCGCCCAAAACGGCGCCAGCGCCGTACGATAGCCGGGATAGCCGGCGCCCCAGCCACCAACCTGTGCCGCTGGGCACCCCCTGCCGCATCATGCGCGATGTGCGGGGGGCGAACCCTCTGGCCTCTGGCAACGTGACCCCTAGAAGAGCTGAAGCTGGTCGGGGTGGCAACACGCCGGTCAGATGGGGAGGAGCCACTCCCCCCAATCAGCCCCTGGCACTCAACAGCTCGGTTCCCTTCTTGGCACCTTACCAAGGCGGCCCTGGCGCTGGGTCGCACCGCTTGCCTCCTGAAAACATGTCACCTCAGCAGGCGACTGATGCCGGCAGCAGTGAGGATGGCTTCATTGTGGAGGGGCGTTGGCTGCAACCGGGACAGGGTTCCCAGGGCGCACAGACCTACAGTCACATGCCCCCACTTCAAGAGGGCTTCTATGTCCCCGAGCCGCCTATGCCACTGGGGCCCAAGGCCTTGCCTTGGCTTCCATCCAGAACCTGCGAGGACAAGGACTTCACCATGCTCACCAAGGAGGACTTCCTGGCGAAGCTGAACGACGTCTGTGATTCCTTCCAGCCCGAAACCAAAGAGGTCGAAAACTTCGACCTGCAGACCCCTCACCGCACTTTCGAGTTAGCAGCTGCAGAGGGCGCCCTCAGCAGACTGATGGAGGAAGTCATGTGGAGCGGGCCGATCAGGCAACCTTGAAGCAGTTCCAAGTACCCGACCCATTTTCATTTTGCTGATGCTTTGAATTCAGGGATTTGTTGTTGTTTTTTTGTTTGGGGGGGCCCACAAAATGGTGGTTCTCCTCTAGGTTTCTCTAAAGCCACTGAAAAGGGGTACACTCCAAAAAAGCAGACGCACCCGCTTGTGAATCCCGCCAACGGTTTAACTTTTCGCAAGGGATGCACGAGCTAAGGCACATGGCCATTTGTGTCATGGCCCAGCGGGTCATCATGCTGGCGGATTCCATTAAGAAGAACCCAGACACCCCAGGCGGGTCGACTTGTATTCATTCTCTCAAGACGGGGTTGTAGCCCAACCAATCCAAGGGCACCGCCGCTTCACGTCGCTGTTAAAGTTCCACTGATTGTTGTTTGGGCCGAACCATCCCTCGAAAGGTGTGAAAAAGGGGCCCATGGTATAGGAGGGAATCGGGCCCATGGTCTCCGAAGGTGCCTGTCGGCTTTCCTTTTGGTTCCCTAGCTGAGGGTACCGAGCCCAAACAAAATGATATGGCTGGTCCAAAATGGAACCCCTAAGTGGCATGGACCAAAACCTGTGGTCCCTGGTTTCATTTTGACCCTCATACGTTTCACACCCGCTTGGCCCAGAGCCTCAGGGGGCAGAGCTTTGATGGCTGCCTTGCTCTCATCGGTGAAGCAGATGTGCGCGGCCAACACCAGCGACGTGACCATCAACAAGGCGCCGGGGAGTCCACCCGCAGCCCCCCTTTGCTATCTGGAAAGCCAAGCAACCAAAAAGACAGAATTCAACCAGCCTACCAAACAAGCAAATCCCCTCAAGAACTACAACCAAGAAAAGCAGCAACCAAATCCGTAGAACTAACTAGCCAACAAACATAGACCTTGAACTATTCAATCCAGCCAAACAAATCCATAAAAATAAACCAACCAACAAGCGTAGGCCTTGACAACAGTTCAACCCAGCCAACAAACAACTCCCTAGAAACCATATATCCAACAAACATGGACCTTTGAACAATTCAGTCCAGCCAACAAGCAATTCCTTAAATCATGTAACTAGCAAAAGCAAACCTTGAACAATTCAATCCAGCCCATAACCAAGTGTCTAAAAACTAGCCAACAGAAACAGAACTTGAACAGTTCAATCCAGGCCACAACCAATCCAAAACGAAACAAGTCGAGCCAACAAGATGGATTTTGAGCAATTCAATCCAGGCAACAACCAAATCCCTAAACAAACATCTAACCAAGAAAAGTAGACCTTGAGCGAATCAAACCAGCCAACAACCAAATCCCTCACAAAGCATATCCCACAAGACTTATTCAAGCCAGCCAACAACCAGGGCCCTCAGCATTTTCAAAAAATTGGTTATTTGCTCAATTGCTCTAAACAAACATGGGGCGAGTTCCCTTTATGGCCCCTTTGCCACTGGTAGGCAGAGAAGTTCAGCGGCCGAGTGGTGCTCCTTCTGGGGTCTGCAAGTTGCTCTCCAGAAGTTCTCATCAAGACCTGCGCCTTGGAGAGAGTTCACCTTGTGGGGACTCGTGTTTTTTGTAAGACTCCGCAAAAAAAAATGTGGTTTCCCTTGAAAAACCATCCCCCGACACCTGATAGTAGTTGTGTAGGGGGACTCCCCAAAATAGTGGCTTTCCCTGAAAAGCCATCCCTCAAACCTGTTGGAGGACATAGTTGGCCGTGTTTTCTTGGGAATTGGACCCCTCAAATGTGTGTGTGTGTGTGTGTGTGTTTCCTTTTCTTCCCCCTCTCACCAGGTAGATGCTAGCCTTTAATCATTGGGGCGGATTACCTACAATAGCGCTAACGTGTGTCAATAGTTTTTGTTTTGAGATCGGACCCCCAAATTTGTGAGTTCCTTGTGGTTTCCTTTAAAAAAGACGCACCCAACAAGAGTACTACAAAAAAAAACACAGTTTGTCTCAAAATAGGGAACCCTCCAAAATGGTAACGGCTTCCTTTGGGCCTCATTTAAAGCCATCCAAGCTTGATAGATGATAATATGGGTGTGTTGTTTGAAGTTGGTACCCTTTTCAGGTTGGTTAAAAGGGGAAAAAGGGAAACCACAAACTTGTTGAGAGGAATACCCATAGTTTGTGTATGTTCAACCTGTTTCAGGGTTTCTTATAATTGCTTACTTTTATGTTGCTCCTTTTTGAATGTCCCATGTTTGGTGTGTGTGCGCGTGGTGTTTTTAAGGTGATTACTTCTTTACCAGGCGACCCCGCAACGCTTGTTTTGGTAGATACCTTTAGAAAAGCCTGTTTGCTGGCGTGGACCATCCCATATTTCCGAGGTTACTCCATGGAAGCTTCGAGAAGAGGAAAGCTAGGGGGACTAGGTTTCCTTTTGGTAAGTACCGGCAAAACCAAGGGGGCAGTACTCGCTTCGAATTGTTTGAATCCCGCAAATGCAGAGGGTGCGGTTTCGCTCAAACCAGCAATCCCCAAGCCACCGATTTGAGAAACATGTTGGTTACGTTCTTTTCCAATTTGCTAAACCACCGGGCAAGTGGAGCCAATTCGAGTTAAGTCGGTTAGGTCCTCCAATTTGAGTCACAATCACAACCTGGGTAGATGAAGGTTAGTAAGGGACGATCCCAGCCATAAATCGCTGCGGATATCCGCCTTGTTAGTTCTTTACATGGTTCTTCGACCATTTTTGTACCGATTGGTTTTGATTGTGACTCAGCTGCATTTGTTTTGTTCACAAGGTTGGTTGGTTTGCGAATACGGGAACCCCCAAATTGGTGGTGGCTCTTTAATGCTGTGAACGAGCCCCAATTTGAGTCGGTGAGGCTGTGAGAAGTACCGGCAGATCGATCACCACTGCATGATCACGGCCTTGTCCATGGGCGCGGAGCCTGCAGGATCGGCTCAGCTCGGCAAGGCCTTCGCTGCGGCCATCAACGCCGCTTGGCCGTTTCGAGCAGCCCGAGATGACCCAACCCCCCCGGTGTTTCTTAAAAGCCCAATGGCATTTATATATATATATATATATACCTGCAGGCCCTGATCATATATATGTATACATGTTTTTTGGAAAAACATGGGTGTTAGAAAGAAACACCGCACGCAAAGCACGTGTTTGATGGCTTCTCTGGTTTTGATCCGACCCGACCTTGCCAGCTTTGCATCCCAGCCAACCTCTTTGGGACATGAAAATGGGTTCCCAAATGGCTTCCCAAATGTGGCGCCGCTTTGTACCCATTTCCGTGGCCCCTAAAGTGGTGCACCTCTTTACATCGAAAAAGGCCAAGTTTCTGTACCTACTCTTGGGTCCACTTTAGTAGCATCCCCAATCCGGGCCACTGGCCAAGGCTTTCATGCTCTTGGCGTCCAAGGTGGCAGTCACATCCAAAGCTTTATGCGATGAGGTGGTCTCCGTCGATTCAGGGACCAGCCAAACCCCCAAAATCCCCGCCACTCCTTCAAAGATACATTTTGCCCATTTGAAGCATGTTGCTTTTTCACCACCAGAATTCCGAGAAGCCGCCATTTACAAGTTGCAATGTGGTGTATGTAAGGCTCCGCAAACCCCAAGACCTAAGCCCAGCTTAGGCCTGGGCGGATGCAGAGGCCCAATATGGGCCGCCGGGCACCGCCGGGGGCGCCGGGCGCCCCGAGCTCTTGGTCCACCTCTTTGGGTCCGCCGGCTTCGCGGCCTGGTCCAAGATGCTGCGGCTCTGGCACGAGCAGCGCCTCGAATCGATGTCTCGAATCGATGTCTGGATGGGTCCCCGTTTTGCAGCTAGGTGCCCGACCTTTTTTATCGTTTCTTTTTTGGGAGGGCGGGAAGTTTCCCTACTAAAATAGACTACAGGGAAAAAATCGTGTACCCTTATTCTAAGCTCTCTACTGGAGGACCTTGTAGGTGTAGCGGGTCAGTTTGGACCAGAGCAAAAGGGCCCCTTTTGGGTAACCAGCCTGGTGTTTGCAAGAAAATGTGAAAATAACGGGACCGGGCTCTTCCAACATCGGATTTATAGTACTCAGTTGGTTGTCTCAAAATCGGATTGTGTGGTTTGGATTGGTGTGGTTTGGAGCTCGGTGGTTTGGAGGTCTGGTTAGGGGTGGGCAGAAAAAAGCCCACAAAAAACCAAACCACCAATGATCAGGGCGTCCAATGAGTATCCACGGCGGCTCATAGTAGAATCGGGGTGAACATAAGGGGACGAAGAACGAGGAATTCCTAGATTTTGGTGGAGCTGTTTTTGATTGGTATGTAAGTGGTGTTCAGCTTCAGTTATTTGCTCAGCAGCACCTCGCCCGAAAAAGAAGGGAAATGGATGGAAGTGTTCATGGTTTGCTTTCCGGTTTGCCGGTTCCTCTTGGCAGCAATCTGATTCTTTCTTTGCAGTCCCAGTCTCGGGTCGCAAAATCGGTTTTGCTTACCTTGGCAAACTTGGTAACCTGTGGCTTTGATCTTTTTGGTGAAGTTTGCGTGGAAGTTCTTGTAGGGGGGTCCCAGTTTTGGGCGAAAAACAAAGCAAGTTGTGTTTTCAAGTGTTGTTGTTTGAAGTTTGGGTCAACGAGTTGTTCTGTCGATTTTGTTTGACAAGTGGGCTCAAGTGAGGTTCATGTACCCCGACAACAAGCGAGTCTTGGCTGCGGATTACAGCAAGCACTCGCCACTGTGGGGCCTTTTGGGAGATGTTCGTTTGGTGGGGATGTCGCTGTTTGCTGGCGCCGTTTGGGGCTGAGAGAAGCGAAAAGGAAACCACCCAACTTGTGCGACACATCAGAGACCCCTCAAAGGCCCCGGAGAGCTTGGCCCGTGACTCGAGGATTGAATGGCCGAGTGCCGGCCCTTGAGAAGCTCCTGAAGGCGGTGGTCCTGGATTCCGCGCCAGGCGAGTGGAGCGGGGTTCGTTGGGTTTTCAGCTGAAAGCTATGGGGCCGAGGCTGTTGGGGGATATCACCTGGAGTTCGGTTCTTGTTGTTCTTTTCTTTTTTGGAGGGGGAGGAGGATAATTGGGGAACCCCATGAAAGCAATGGTTGGGAGATAGTCACGTCACCATTGCTTACTGTATTACCTGAGATTCATCATGCAAGTTGGGTCAACTCATTTTTCTGGGGGCGCAAGGCTATGGGCCAGGAACACTGAAAGGGTAGATTGCTAGGGGCGTCAACTGCCCACGGAGGGAGCTCCCTTTAAGGCCTTGCTGAGCCAACGGCAAGAAAAGAACAAGAAAAAAGCAGTAGGACAACGAAAACAACAAACCGTTCCTTTGTTTGCTCTTGTTCTGAACAGACTGTTCACTGCTCGGGAGGTTAGATCAAGGGACTGGCTACTGCAATTGAATCCAATCGCAGGTGTTGGATTTCTCAGCTAGCCACTGACGACTTAGTTGATTTCGAGACAAGAGGTATGCAAATTTGAACCACAGAAAAAAAAGAAAGAAACAAACGGGCCCCCAGTTGCTACCAAGATAAGCTACACAAATGCACCCACAAACCCCAAAAAAAATCCCCAAATGAGAAACCAAACTGAAAGCATCATGTCCTGGGAAACATGCTGAGTCCATCAAAGTGACATCCAAGTTGCAGAAATGGCAGTAAGGGAATTCCCCAAAGGTGTGAGAACCCCTCATTTTTTTTGGTTTGTCTCAAAATGACGCGTCCCCAAGAAGTACACTAAGATAAAGACATGGCTGGCGTGTTTTTGCTTGCAAATCAGATTTCGGGGGTTCCCCAAACTCCAGCCGGAGCCTTCGCATTGGGCCAGGTGCGTCTGGCCAACAGATGCTGGGGGCCTTCCCCATGGTTCAAGGCGACGCGGCCTTGCTGTCGGCGGCTAGGCAGCGAAGGTTGGCTTGGACTTCACCTGCTCCGCAACAAGCTTTCAGAAACATCCATGATCCCCCGAAAAAAAACGGGGGAAACAACTGCCATGGAATCCCGAAGATGTTATCAGCCACCTTCAGCATCATCCCCCTTTCCCCTCCAATCCCATGTCAACGCGGGCCTGTTTCCACAGGTGTCCGTGGGTTACTTCGGGTCTTGTAAAGCTTTTACCACGGTCAAGAGTGACTAAGCCTTTTCCACTTGAAAAAATGTAAACATAAACAAATATAATAAACCATGTACAAACTCATTCATAGGCATTTTGGGGTAGGTGCACCACCCATTTTAGTCTATAGTGGTTGGATTGGGATGTTCACAGGGGGAGCGATTTGGGTTTTGACCCATAGCCATCTCTCTATTTGTGCTCTGCCAGAAGGCCGATGTTCGTATCCCGAGGCCATGAACTCCTATGGCGCAGATGGCTCGCAGCAGACAGAGGTGGGATCGGAGTCTGCGTTTCGATCCGCTGGGGGCGATGGGGGCGGGGGACTGGGGGCTCGTCGTCTTTTTCCTTCGGTTGGAGACTACTCCCAAGAAAAGGAAACATGTGGTTTTCCTTGGGGGAAAAGGGCGTTTTTGAACAACCTAGGCGGGTTTTTCCTTGCGGCTTCCATAGAACCAGAAACAAGGGGGTGCCAAGTCCAAAAGAAGACACGCACGCGTGCTCAAACGGAAGTCAGCGACTGAAAAAGAAGGAAGATTCGCAGCAGAGTTTTGTCCCCTCGGGTCAGACATCACGCAGAAGGCGTTAAGACATCCCTATTGGTTGAACAGCAAGTTGGACCGGAAATAGAAGCCTTGCAAGCACTCGAGGCGTCGAACCTTGACGGTGTCCACAAGCAATGTCTGATGGATGTAGTTTCGCATGAAATCCACCGGACAGACCGTTTGGGATGGTTTCATGGGGGGTTTTTCCAGGGACCCGGGCCCTCGGATTCCACGCAAACCGGGGGGTATGTTTCAGGGGGCTTGCGAGTGCCAGGTGACAAAGATGCAGGCTGGGCCGTGAGCGTAAGGGGCAGATTTACCACTGGTGCATTTTGCTGGGATGTTAGGACTTTCACTTTTTGCCAACTGCTGGGTTTTCCATCAAAACTACTAAAAGTTAAACCCAGAAGCTTCGGCGGAGCTTTTGCTTCTTTGCAGTTCGGGATCTGATGCTTTAGGCCTTGGTGACTCAAGTTGTATTCGTAAAGGGTTTGCAGGCCCTTGGGAACGCACAATGGAGCTCTTCAAAAGTTGAAAGGGATGGTCAATATTCCCCCACAAAGAACTTAGTTTAGATAGGGGGTCTGTCCTCTTTCATTAGGGGAGCCCCCAAAATGGTGATTTTCCTTTTGGCTTCCTTTGAAACCAACCAAAGAGGGGTCCCACCCTTAGAATTGCTCTGAGTTCTTACCACGGTTCTTGGGGTCGACTCCATAAATATGTGTTGCTTCTGACTCACGCGACTGCCCCCTGCCCGTGTTTGGCCTGCCACTCCAACCGACCCACTGATCCAAACCAGTCCCATAGGTGAAACAAGTCAAGTCGGAGAACTGTGGGGTTGCAAGCCCGTTTTCCTGTTGTGTGGTGGGTTTTCCTTTAACCAACAAAGGGGGGGGACACCTCTTGGTTTGTTTCCCATGGAAAGTCTGGGATTCCACAAATCAGGCTGGTTCGCCACCCGCACTCAACCAGGCGGCTCAGATGGCCATGAGAGATCTCACCCGGAAGGGGGCGCCACTCTGGGAGTACTACGAAGAGATACTTCAGCAGGACGGACGGATATAGGCCGATCAGTTTTCGGGCTGCCAGCCTGAAACGCTCGAAATGTCGTCACGCAGGATTTTTCCATCAAGAAAGCGGCTATAGAGCAAGGGGTAAATCCGAATTGGCCCCAAAAGCTGTGACACAACCTGCGATTAGTCAAATATTCGCAAAGGCTTTTGAAACCCGCAGGGTTTTCCTATTCTTCCTTCCGGTGGTTTTGAACACCTGCTTGCCAAGAAGTGTGTTCCCCTTTGGCAAGATGCTGAGATCGGAATCTGTTCAAGAGTCTTCCAAGTCCCTTGGACCGGTTGCGCCCCCACTTGAAAGACAGCAAGTGTTGGAACCCATAGGTTACGTACTTGTTTCTATTTGACCTTCTATAACTCTGATTTGCTCATAATATGATGGTTGTCAGTTACCCCGCACACATGGACATCAATCCACCGACGCTTTACGATGTCCGCCAAAGTGTTCAACGGAACCTGACCTGTTGGTCTTCCTGAACTCTTCGCCAGCCTCATTTGCACCATCCCTGACATGTGCGCGCTCCTTTCTTCCCTGTTCTACGTGGTTAGGATTGAAGATTCTGAAACGTATGTGCTGCGAGGCCGTAGCAATTGTCCATTACTGCTCAGCATTTACAAATAGGATTTCTGCGCGCGATTTTGGCATGCGCTTTGCAAAACAGAACCAGAGTTCTAAGCTGTCACCTTTTGTTTCCAGGCACTTGAGTTGCAAGTCGGAAATGGCAAGCGTGTCAAACCACTGCGCAGAAAGTAGATCACTTTGGGGGCTTTCGACCTGGGCTACATGGGTTCTCAGAATAGAGAGCCCAACAAATTGGTGATACCCCCCCCCCCCCCGCATCATTCCCTTTTTGCACCACTCTGAATCGGGTACAAGTACCTTCAGCAAAACGGCACGGCCCTCAAAGGGAACCTTCGGAGCCCAAAGGTCCTCATCATCTTCTCTCTTCATCTGTGAGAAACACCGTGTCTTGTTCGTAACCTATCGGCGTTAAAGGTAGCTGCTTTCATGGTTGTAAGGCCTGTATAAAATCAATGATTCAACAGAGACCAGCCTATTCTTACCAATCAGGGTCGATTTACGAAGGCTCTTGGGCACAATGAGAGCCAGGTAGAACCAAAAGTCAGAGGATTTGTTCGGCCCGTTGGCGATTTTCTGATGACTTGGGCTCGAGGGATTTTGCGGGTGAAGTTTCAACCACCCTCCCGAGTTCCTGGATTGTCTGCTTTTTGGATGACCTTTTTGGGGAACCGAAAGTTCGCACGATGCTTTTTGTTGGACCAATCCACTCAGGAACTCAGCAGAAATTGGACCCCTACAACCTGCTGATTGGCGTCTTTTCGCCATCCAAAAGGATGTCATATTCCAATGTACTCACTTTGTGGGGAATTCCTGCTATAGGGATACGAAACTAATGTGCCACTTCTGAGAGTGTAGATGCCGCCTCACCACCAACTTGTTGTTGTTGATCCGACAACTCGAGGTATGTCAAAAACAGGCTGGTTGGAAAAACCTGGACCCCAATGCCCTTCTTTCACACTCCCGTCAGGGCACCGAAGACGAAAGTCGAGCAAAACCGGTGGCTTAAATTAGTTCCCAGCTGCCCACCCGTCCCACCCCAAGAAAAGACAGTGATGGCTGGCTGAATTCCCATTTCACCACCAAAAGCATCGACCCACAAAGTGAAATGGACTTGAAGTTCGACGTGCAACGCATCCAGGAGCAAGGCCTCACTATGCAGGTACATCAGCATGAGCCTGCGGTGCCCCTTCTCTTCGCCTACTCAGCCTCAGACAAGCTGCTCGTCTTAAGCAGTCAAAGACGAGGATGTTGCTGTTGATGTTCGGAATCCTGCGCCAGTTGACAGGTGGTTGTCCCATTCAAAGGGTTTCATCGGATGGTGCAGGATTCATCCATCCACAGAATGACTTACTCTTCTCAACCGGGGAAGTAAACTGGGGGCTTGGTGAATGGGAAAGCCGCCTCCACAAACTTCCAGTGCTTCCAAGCTTGTTGAAGGAAGGGTATAAGCCGTATGTGTGCGTGTGTGCCTCTACTTGGCTCAGAGGATCCACAGTGAAAGAACCATTATGTAAAATCAAGAGGCAAATCCTGCTAGGTAAATGGCGTTGCCTGGATCGTCTTTAGAGATGGGAAGCTTCCAGCTGTTTATAGGTTTCTTCATGTTGAGCCCAAAACGTTTCAACCTTGTGACTTTAGTGTTGTACTTCAAGATGTCGTTTCCCAACCGTCAGGAAACACCAGGTAACATCTTCCGGCAGTTGTGCCGGCTTGTGCCGGGAGATGTCGTGTCCTTACGACATCTGAGATCAGACGAGTCCACAGACTCCAGACTCCATTCTCGCGAGGATCGCGCCGGCGGCGCAGATCGAGCGCTATGCCACCGAGTGCGAGATCCGTCAAGCGCAGATGGCCGTAGACAAGACGGCGCGGTTAGAGAATAGCTGCAGTGCAAGAGAAGGGCGAAGAAAACCCAGCCCAGGAAACTGTTGGTAGGAATTCCACTGCCCAAAGCAACCCAACCTGTTCACCTTCCGGTTTTTCCTGGTTTTCCTGGGTTTTCCCGTTTTTCATATTCCGTCCTTCGGTCACCTTAAAGGTGATCGCCTTGATTTCCCCCTGCGAGGGTTGAGTGTCTCCGCCAGGTGCCCCCGCCACGGCAGCTCCGTTTTGAGAACTCCGCCCACGTGTCGCATCGAGCAGGGCCGACAGAGGAGAACTTGGGGCCGACGGAGGGACATCTTTTTATATGGGTACCTGCCATGGCTGACCCACGGGAAGACTGGAAGAATCGAAACGCGCAAATTAAAAAAAGGCGCACTTGGGGGGGTGGGTTGTTTTAGGAGGAAGAAACCACAAGTAAGCCGAAGCCGATTTGTTGTGTTTCCCTATTTTGATTCAAACCCCTGGGCCCTTTGAACTGCTCCTTTCACTTTCACTGCGTCCACCCAAAGTTTGTTACATTTTGAGGTCTCAACAAGCGGAATCTGTCGGGAAAAGGGCAAGGTATCCCCTTGGTTCGCTTGAACATGCCAAAAGGGGGTCCACCAATGTCGAGAAACACGCAGATTCAGGGGGTCTCATTGTTGTTGCGGTGTTGGACACTTCCGTTGAATCCACCTCTGCAGGATGTCGCCTTGATGCCCCCCCGTGTGGAAGTTGTTCAAAGGCGACCGTGTTTGATTGGTGTTCAATTCTGCCAAGCGGAAGCAAGCCACAAGCCACGTTCATGGGTTTGCTAGACACTTTGAAGAGATCCTGTCAAAGCTGGGAGCCCTTTTGACTGGTGAAGCATCCCAGGATGTTGCATCTGTGAGGAGGAATACTGGAAGACTGTCCACGACTTCTGGCGACAAGCTCTCTTTTCTTGACCTTGTTGAAGGCGCACTGCAAGGAGGCAGAAATCATGTCACA